TCGTCACTTGTAGTGTCACCATGATGTTTTGTTTCATGATGAACAAAGAGAGCACCAGGCATATGCTGCTCTTGTACTGTTCGGTAATCCTCTTCTACAAAATCACCTCCCTTTACTAATTTATCCAAAGTTTTGTTTCCTACAAGATACTCCTCCAATGATGCCTCATTAGTCTTTTCGAAATTTTTATCGTACATCCACTCTAATTGTCTTTTACTTTGCTCCTCACTCATGTTAGCCAATTCTTTGTCAATCTCCTCATGGCTTTGATGCTCGTTAGTTACATTTTCAGTATTGTTATCTTGATCAGAAGATAATTGAGGATTAAACGAAGCTCCGATTTGTTTTTTCCGTGCTGATGATGATGTATAATTTTCATCCGCATGAGGCATAAAACTTCCTTCCGCATTCAATCCCTCAAGCAAGCCTTGTTTCATTTTTTTTCTTGTCTCTCCTTCAAAGTTGATTCGCAACAAAGTCATTAGAGACATTTAACTAAATCATTGAACTATTGCATATACCAAAAGAAGAACCATTGAAGTTGCATGGGCTGAACATGTTTTTGGGAGTGAACACCCTCGTCCTCTCCTTATTGAGAATCTTCAAAAAATCTTATTCAAGAGTGTAAAAAATGTCCCAAAACAACCACCCGTCTTCTCACAACCCTCATCAACAACAACAACGATACCACCCCCAACACCACACATCAAATTTGTCGGAAAATAATTTGGAGTATCAAAGCAGTGGGTACCAAGAAGAACCTCAAAATGTTACCTCTTCCGATGATCATCATGTAGCCTTCCAAGACTTTGGCCAAGATGCAAGATATAGATCCCGAAGGGGCAGTGAAGAGATGATAGAAGATGTGGTGCAACATGCTCTCACGAGTAATACATCAAGTGGAATTCGAAGAAGAAAACAAGTGAGAAATCAAGAAGAAGATACAATGTCTGATATTGTGATCCCAGAAGAGGAAAACGAACTGGAGACAAAGAAAGCTCTTTTGAATTCAATGTTTGGTATTATGCCATTTGCTGGTAAGTGCAAAAATATGGTGGTGGATGTTGTTGATTGTTAAATTATTGTTGTGTGAAAATGATCTTTTTCCAATATTGACTTTTGTCAACAGGTCACGTGACGAAAAGAGATATAGCAGAAAGAAGTGAAAAGGTAAAATCACTTTATGAGCCAGTAACAGGACTTAAACCAGAACAAGTAAAAAAACCTGAGAGAAATAGAATGTTAGGTTTTGGAAATATTCTCTACTCAATTCTATTTGGATGGTGGCTGTTCTTGGTGTATCTTTTTGTTGGAATTTTATGCTTTTTAAGTATATTTTGCTTTAGTTACGGCAAAAAGTGTTTTGAATTTGCTTTTTATTTCTTTTATCCATTTGGACAATATGTGGAACGGATAGTCATCGAAGATCACCATATCATTAACTCAAACAGCACAAACGAATCTACATCCATATTAGCTGGAAATGCAGACGATCATACACCATCTAATGATTACTATAATCTCAACAAGAAGGAAAACAGATTTTTAAAAATTGTTGCAATGATCATTTGGTGTGTAATAATGGCACCAATATTAGTGATTGCTCATGCCTGGTGCTGCCTACTCGCTTGGCTCACAGTATTTGGAATTCCAATTTCTAAAGTTCAATATCAGGGAATCAAATTATTGTACAAGAGTTTCTTGGAGCTTCATGTTAGCCATCAATTTCCTCCCAATGTCGAAAGTGATATTCTTGTTTGTACCTATCAGGCCTTTAACATTTGGTATTACAAGTATTCATTATTTGGCGCAAATGTCATGCTGATCAATATGCTACCTTTTGTACCGCTCAGTATAATTTTAGGATTTGCTTTTGGGGATGAATTTGTGGAAGAGTATGGTATTGGTATCTTTATCAGTTGTATTTTAGCTGTGGTGCCTCTCAGTTACTACATCAGTAAGGCTGTCAGCTCGATATCTGCTCAGAGCAATTACGTTGTTGGAGCTTTCTTGAATGCATCGTTTGGTTCAGTAGTAGAGATTATCTTATATTTTGCAACTTTGTGGAAAGGATTATCCACAATTATTGTTCAAGCAGTAACTGGTAGTTTTTTAGCAGATACGTTGTTAATTCCGGGTTTAAGTATGATTGCTGGAGGATTTAAACATCAAGTTCAATACTTCAATAGACACGCAGCAGGAACGTCTGCTTTGCTACTGTTGGTTGCAGTAGTGGGATGTTTTGTTCCATCTCTTTTTTACACCATTTATGGAAGTAAGTCTCATCAATACCAGAAAGGAAATGAATATTATTTCCAATAATGTTAACAACTATTTATGAATAGATTATGAATTAAGTTGTTTACAGTGTATGGATACAGCTATATTCCACAATACAACCAATAACTCAACAACCAATTTCGCTGGATTTCCACGAGTAGACGCTCGACGTAACTCAACAAATAATGGTACAAGTCCTCTTTATTCCATGACCTGCCAGAACTGTATTTATGTAGAACGAGATTTTACCAAGGATCCAATCTACCTCCACAAAGTAAAACCTCTTGCCATTACAACCGCAGCAATTTTACCTCTGGCTTATTTGGTTGGTTTGATCTTTGCATTGAAGGTAAGGTTTGAAATAGTTCATGAAATATTAATTATTTCAATAATTTTTTTCAGACACACAACAAGTACTATTTGCGACCACCAAAAGTCGATGATGAAGACTCAGAAAAAGGAAAAAACAGAGCCCATGGAGGACATGGAGCAGCTGAATGGCCAAGATGGTTGTGTGTCATCATTTTACTTGTTGCCACAGTTGCATTTGCGTTTGTTGCAGAATGTATGACAAAATCCATGGAGCCAGCTTTCAATGAACTCAGAATTCCTTTAGAATTTGCTGGACTCACCGTATTTGCTGTCGTTCCTAATATTTCAGAAATTGTTAGTGCTATTAAGGTAAGAAAGGTTCACATTTTTTCTTGTTCGCCCGAATTTACTTATTTTATCTTCAGTTTGCACTACAAAATAATGTCACTCTATCTCTGGAGATTGGAAACGTTGCAGGTATTCAAACAGCATTAATTCAAGTACCTGCACTTGTTATTTTCAGTGTAATTATTTTCCAAGATGATTTCACAAAAGTGTTTAGCTTGACATTCCCACAACTCGATTTGGTTGCCATTTTCTTTGCAGTAATCATTCTTAACTATGTGACAATTGATGGAAAGAGTAATTACTTTCATGGTTTCAGTCTTACCGTTGTGTACATTCTCATTATCATTGCCTTCTTTTTTGCATATTTCTAGTCACCAACGACATGACTCTGGCAGAAGTTTTGATATTTCATCAAACCAAATGTCCATTCTTTTCTGCACTCATAAAGAATTTATAGTTTGTTGTTAATGAGAATTGTTTAATATTGAACACTATGTACAACGTTTGAACGATTCGTAGAACTCTTTGTTATTCAACGGAAATAGTTTTGACCTTCTTGGTCGTTTGCTCAATTTTTGGAACAGTCACTCTCAATACTCCATTTTCAACACGTGCCTTAATTCCAGTCAAATCAGCATCTTGAGGTAAGTAGACACTTCTTCTAAAAGATCCATACACTCTCTCTAAAGAATGATAAGTTTCATTCTCTTCTTGTTTATCTCGATGGATTTCTCCACTCAAAGTCAAAATTCTATTCTCTTCGTCGAGATCAATTTTGACGTCCTGCTTTGAAAGACCTGGAACATCACAGGCAATACGAATGATTCGATCTGTTTCACTAACGTCCGTTGGAGGAATAAAGTCTGGTGTTTTTTCACCACCAACCTCAGCAACACCACCACTCTCTGTTCCTCTCACAAAACGAGAGGTGGGAAAGAATCGATTAATGAAAGGATCATCAAAGAAGGTATCGAACCAGTTGTGATGTCTTCGAGCGGAGCCACTTGGAGGACCTCTCTTGTGTGGTGGTTGTCCTCTTCTTGAGGAAGAAACTGGTTGGATGGAAGAATCTGTGGATGAACTGGAGGTTGGTTGAGTTGATTTGCCAGTGGTTGAGGTGGTTGTGGACATGTTTTTTTGAAAAGAGGATGAGAGAAAATGCTTGAACTCGGAATGAAAAGAGACATTGAATTCAAATGGGTCACAAATTTATAAACGACACTCGAACATTATATTTAATAAAAGCTTGTTGAGTAATAACGACAAAAGCGAGATCGAACTTCAAAAGGAATAACGAAGTGTTTAACAATTCAATGTCCCGATGATAAGAATCTCGAAAACAAGCCCGTACATCACTACACTAATATGGAAGAAATGACTGAATGCGTGACATTAGGAAGCCTCATTCGGAAAAATTGAACAAAGAATGCATATCTCTCCTCTGAAAGGTATCACAAAGAAGAACAGACTTTCACTATTAATATCATCAATCATATTTGAACGTGAACATTATTTGCATCTGTTTTTGCAGTTGAGCATCTCTCACAGATCTCTTTTAAAAGAAACATATGACAAGTTGTTGTTGTCTCATGAGCAGTACCACCAGCAATGATTCCATTCAACAATCCTGTAGGATGACTTCCATGACACGATGGTCTTTTCATCTCTTCATCATCATGTGCCTATTATTGTCAATAGCAAGTCGACATCCATTGTTGGCGAAGGCAAAGGTTCGAACGAAAGACGAAGTTGAACTTTATAATTTATATTTTACAAAAGACAGTGGTGATTCCGTTCTTCCGACAAGCAGTCGTGGTATCAACTACTCTTCTCTTCCACCTCCTGGTCTCTTGTTGAACAATGTATCATATCCAGATGATAGAGATTTTGCTTTTTTTGAACCACTTACTCAAAGTTATTGGCCCACTAATTTTGTTCTGGACAATACCCATTCTGATTTATGTGATGATGATGATATCAATCTTGTGTTGAAGGACAGTAAAAATCAGCAACCGTCCTTTCTGAATTCAGGCAACAACAGTAGCAGCTACTCCATCTGTTTGGAATACTTTTGTGAGTGCTCCATTGATGCGAATGTTTGTTTCAATTTAACCAACTCTCTCATTGAAAATGAAAGATTCCGAATGCAATATTTCCGAATGATTAATTATTGTATTCATTGCAACAATCATCATTCTCGACAATTCATAAACTCCATTTCAGAGGAGCCCGCAGTTGCAACCAAAAATTCAAAATGTCTTTCCAGGTTTCCATCCTATGAATTATTACAGAGGTCGTTATTGAAACATTGCAATATTGGAATTAGTCAACAAAAGGTGAATTCTCTTCTTTCCTCCAATGAAACAAACGATGATTTTAATGTTGGAATTATTGATTGGAGGTTTTTCCAGATTAACAATTATTATTCAAACATGTATTTGAAAAATCATTCCGCCACGATTAATGATAGCACTCTGCACATGTTCTATACACTCTTTGTAGAAGAATCCGTGAATCCTGTCATGTGCTGGTGCAGAAATGAATTGGGAAAACGTTACGCTTTTCAATGTGGAGATGCATACTACAATTTTATTGTTCCTTTCAAGTATATTGGGTCTCCTCTTTTACTGATTATTCTTCTTTCTTTTTCACTACTTTTAGCAACAATTTATAATATTATTCCACTCTATTTTACCAAAAGAGCAATTGTGATAACCCGATCTAGAACTGAAATTGCTAATCAAATTCAAGCACATTTCATTCCACTTATTTATTTACGAATTGCGTTGGAGGAGTGTGTGTTAAAGGATCTAAGATCTATTATATTGTTATTTGAGGTTATGGGCACCACGATCTTAATTACGGAGAATGTCATTTGCTTTTTATGGAATTTTAGCTTTTTCTTTGACAGCCAAAGCTCTGATTTATTGTGGGGATGCTTTAGAGCTTTGGCAATATGGTTCTATGCTTTCTCCTCCACGGCTCTACTTGTTCAGTGGGGTCATATTGTAGATTTATTGCAAGCATCAACTACCAAGAAATCACTCTCTCGATTTAACGTGATTCTGATTTTGAGCATCTATACATTTAATTGTTGCATAATGGTTATTGGTGTCATTGCATGCATCGTTTTAAAATCAACCATGCCACTATTTGCGGCCGCAACAATCTCCATGATTGTAGCTCCCAGTATTTTAATTATCTGTTTCACAACTTATTCTTTTCTCATATTTAAGCGCCTTAAACTTGCTAACAGAAATATTAGAGAAATGCGATTTACCAAATCCATGACCTTATTTAATGTCTCTTTGATATCCGCCTTCATTTTTGGGATTGTCTTTTTGCCCACATTTGTTGTGCGTTGGGATATTTATGGAATTTATGTTGGAATTCACAAGAATTTGGTGATTGATTTAGCGTGTGTGGTAGTTACAGGTTTTTTCACATACATTCTTGCAAACGAAGGAGACATCACCAAATACTATCCGAATGGTTTTGGAAAATTAGTGCTTTGCATGTCATCTGTTGAAACATCTCCAAAGATTATGATGCCCAATGCAACAACATTTTCTCCACCTCCAACACCCATCACAAGAGCAGGTTTCAATCCTATGGAGAGTACAGAGCTTGATTCCTCTACATCGATGTCAACACCTACCACACAAAGCCACACCATATTATCTACCCCGACCATTCCAACACATCCATCAGATTCTGATCTTTCCAAATCACAATCGATGAATCAGGTTTAACCATAACCTTCTTCTTCGAAGTTTCTTCAATACTGATCGAATCAGGAAAGCCATGATTCAGCTAAAATGAGTGTACCACATTCAACATGTTCCCTTAATATTTAAGAGTGGCCAATGAACAACCGCACTCAGAACAGCTCGAAACACTATAAATAGAACGAGTTGTGACTGCAGTCTCTCGAGACAATCCAAAAAAAAGAATTATTACCTTCGGTCGCTCTTCGAGAAAGAAAACACTGGTGACCATGGTCAAGATCGAACCTCACAATCCGGAAAGCTTTTTCCTCTCCTTACATTCCACTACACAAATCTACATTCCCATTTTCCAACGCAAGTTCTGTTGGCTTCCCAAATATGTAACAACTTTGTGGAACAATATTTGCAAGAGCTCATCCATGAATGGTCATCATATCGGAAAGATCTTTCTTCAACAACATCAGACATACACGGCAACTACTTTGATTGGATCTTCCGCCCATTCTCCATGTTCCACTGATCTCTCTTGTATTGATGGACAACAAAGACTTTCTACTCTCATGATTTGTCTATGTGCGATGAGAGATTTGATTCTTGAAGAAGAAGAAACATTTCGTATGCCTGAAAATGAAAAGTCCTCACCACACAAACAGTATCTACACGACATGCTCAACAAATTGCACCGAATACTATTTGTGAACGCGGAAAAACATGCTCTGAAAGGTCCAGTTCAATTTCTTGAAGAATTATCGAATACACAACAGTTACTGAACTCGACTCGGGAACAGCAATCAGAATGGTTCCTTCGTATGAAACAACACTCACGATTAGTTCCAAGTCGTGATGACAGAAAGACCTTTTTTGCAGTCTTGATTGGACTCTCTCGCTTTTCCAGTCTCAAAGAAGGAAATTTCAATCCTTGGATTCTCTTTGCATATCATTTCTTTTACAATGCAATCAAGAAGGATTTAAATCGATTTCCCTCAAAGAAAATAGAGCGTTTACAATCCTTTCACATGACTCATGTGCTTCAACATGTACGATTTGTGACAGTGGAATATCAGCAAAATGAAATGAACGCACAAGAACGTTTCAAAGATCTCTATCACACCGGAAAAGCAAATCAAATTTTGTTTTTCATCAAAACACCAGGTATTGATTTAGCTCAATCAGATTTAATCAAAAACCATGTCTTGTCTCTTTTCAAAACAGAAGAGAAACAGTTTGAAATGTATGAAAAGTATTGGTTACCTATGGAACGAAGATTTTGCACATTTGAAAACATTTCCTTGAATGCAAATGATGGTGGATCCTCACTTTCAACAGTAGTAGACGCTTCCTATGCAACATTGGAAACATTACAAAGTAGAGAATTGGATATATTTATTGAATGGTTTGTGTTTAATGTGAAACACTCAGAGCATAATGAAGATCTCCAAAACAAATACAAAAAATTTCAACAACAAAAAGAACAGTCTCAACAGTTGCCTCTCATCATGCAATTAGGAATGTACTCCTCAGGAACAGAACCAAGTTTGTTTAATGAATTCATTGCCACTCTATTTCCATCCTCAACGAGTGTAGAGGAGAGCCATGTGGAAGAGGTACTTGCTCGAATGCTCAAATCGTTGGATGACTTTTTCATGACACTCCATCGTGCACAAGAAGAGTTGTCACGAACAATCTGACGGATCAACACGCGTACCAGTAGTAACTGCAATGCAATCATTGATCACCAGTGTATGAATGAGTCACGGTCAATACATATTGAGAACAAGTTCAATACTTTGTTTGTGCAATGCTTTGTTTGTGCAATTCACCGAACAATACAACTCTTGGTGAACAGAGCATGCTTTCAGGTGTGTTACAACCTAATTCACTAGTACTACTTGACATTCAATTATTCACAAATCATGATGGAATCCTTTCTTCCACTTACCCTTTCGATTGACCCCAACGCGTTCCTCCTACTGTTGGCACAGAGTTTATATCCAAAGAACCCTAAAGTGCATTTTTTCTGCATTTCTGTGATTCCTTTTGGCATTTGCGATTTACTTTTATATTCATTAGCTCCGTCTGTAGTCATAGTGTCAAACCAGGAAACTTTGAGTGTCGCGATTCTTTCTGCAAAGAAGAAAGTTTTCATCAATTTGTCGAATGTCAACAAGCGAAAACTTGTTATGATTGTCACTATTGTTTAAATATGTCATCCAATTCCATCGTTTCCTCTTTGAATATTTATCAACATGTAACCAACCGATAAATTCCCCACACTGGAATGTTGTTTGTTATTTCCAAGCAGTTCGTTCGTTTCATAGAACGTTCTACTAACACTCATCAAAAAAACTGCCCTTCCTGTATATCATAACGCGAAATCCAATGTCCTTTGCCTCCTCTTCATTGTCTTCTTCCCCCTACGTGACGACGAATCACAATCATTTAATCTCTCAACAACAATGCTATCCAATCAGCATCAATAATCTATCTCATCACCACCACCACCACATGATATTCTTGCAACCCTCTGTACCAAACCAACAACAACAACAACACACTCCACCTTCTACATGTTTTGGAATGATTTTCCAACCAATCACCACCACATGCCATCCCAATGCCAACTCCTCCATGTCATCCTCTCCTTCTCAGAAACCACCAGGGTGCTGCTCTCTCATTCATCATCGAGTCATTAATCCAAACATGGCGATGATGATGAATGTTGTTGACAACTTCACCCATGTATGGATGAATCCATATATTCCCACTTCCTCTCCAACCACATGTGAGAGTACAAGTTCCAACATGGAGATGATGGAGATGCCAGACTCTGCTTCACCTCAAATGTACAATCACGAAGCGTCCTCATCATCATTGTTATCTTCTCAACAACAACAACAATTTGGACAAGCTCTCTATAACGTGTTGATGATGAATGGAAGAGAGGAGAATCTCACAAATACAACCACTTCTGAGAAGTATGTCGTTGCTGAATGTCGTCTTGCAACTCCTCATGAGGTTGTTTCTCCAATCATCCGTACGAGTGGTCAAAGCCATTCTTACACTTCAATAGTCGAACGAACAAATGATCCTCAAATTGGACATTCAGCTGAATCTACAATGTGTGCAAACTTGGTTTCTCACTCTTTTCACCCACCGTCACAACCAGTTCAAGAAGAATTTCAAGAAACAAACAGCATGCATGCTCCATCAATAACAACAAGCTTCAACCACGACAAACTTGTATTATCACAGAAGGAGAAGAAGGATGATGAATCATTGAAAGAGTCAAAGACCACCAACAGCAGGATGAAAAAACCAAAATCCACCACTCAATGTCATAATTGCAAAACTGAGCGTTCACCCTTGTGGAGAAAGCATCCAGAAAACGGAAAGAGTTTGTGCAACAAGTGTGGTCTATTTCTCCAACGTTATAAGAAGGATCGACCTATTCAAGAGGAATACATGAAAGCAGGTCGAAAGAAGAGAGTTAAGAATGATTCATTGTTGGAGGAAGAGAATCAATCATCGTCTCCAACGAACACAACAGATTCACATATGCATCTTATCACTCCAACAAACAAATCATCCAACAACAACAAGAAACGAACCAAAGATCACAAGGAAGAGACTGAAACAACCGTCAAGAAAGCAAAACGAACACAAGTCAACTCCACAACACAATCAGAGGACAACGAAAACGATGTCAATAAGACGACAACTGCCATATCAAGTATCTCCACAACGCCAAAATTGGAACACACAACGACCACATCCCCATTTTCACAAACCTTGTCTTCATTGAGTCAGTCAACTGTGTCGGCTTCCAGTTCGCTTTCCAATGAATCTTCTTCTCTCGTAATGTTGAAGAAACAATTTGAAGAAGCAATGGTTTTATTTCCTGATTTAATGCAAACGTTCGTTTCCATTATTAGAAAGAGCGAGAACTGCAAGAATATGGGAGAGACTTTTCAAGTGTCAACACCTGTTGTCATGAATCAACAAACTTTTTTCCAACAATGAATCATCATCACCAACAACAACAATTGCATGGTGGCGCCTATCATCATCATATTGTCTTAGAAGAGGACGTTTCTGCTTTCTTTTTTTCGTCGAATGATCTTTTGGGCCCTTTTGAGCCCTAAATAAAGTATAGACTATTCAATAATTATTCATCATGAATTAATATAAATAAGGTTTAAAAGACCATTATTGCAGATTTTAAAGTGTTTTTGAAAGGGCCTCACCCACAATGTGAAACAATCCTTCAGGGTTCACTCTTTCATTACAATCTCCAAAATCTTCTGTATAGGAAAAGTCAGGAAGAACTGGATATCCAACCTCACCTTCATCTGTATTTCCAACCACACATTCCAACAATTCTGTATATTGCAATAATGATATCACTCTCACATTTGAAAAAGTTTCATGAATTCTCAAATTAGAATCAGAGCATGTTTTCGTTGCCACAAAACACATGGGCACATAGACCATAATGGCATTTGGTTTTGAAAGAAATATGGACATGTAGGATGCAGCTCCTTGTGAAGTGATATACACATCCATGACATTAAATAATTGAAGCTGATCTAGGAATGACATTTGTTCTAATCGTAAATTGATAATGTCAACATTTTCATACTTTTGAGTACGTTGTGAGTTGACCAATTCTAATAATTCATCTTGTCTACTTTTCAAATATGTCACTATTTTGTCCACATTAATAATGGAATCGCGATGTTCCGTGTTTGTGGGTTTGTTTTGTACTGCAATCGTGAGAGTTTTGTGAGAGTTGGGATTCTTAATTCCAAGTTTTCCAAATAAATACTTTTTAAATAAGGATATGAGCATTTCTCTTCCTTCAAGCACGGTATAGAGAGATCCTGTTGATCCTGCCATTAAAGATGAGAAACAAGTGTCTATTTCATGCCCATGTTTCTGAATCATGACAGGATCTACCTCATTGTTGATCAAACATGGAGCCATTCCAATGTATGTTCCAATTTGTGGATTTGCACACTTTTGAAGAGGAGGATTGGAGGAAAGTATTCCAGCCCATGCCAGAGACATATTTGTAGCGCGTTCTCCTTTCAGTAATTGTTGTGACAACACAACAGGATCATTGTGAACCAAACGTTCAAATAAATTATCCATGAATAAGATGTGGCTATCTGAATTCATGTAACCAAAGTTGAACATCAAGTTAAATAATAAAATAAAATTATCTAAAAGAGCATGTCCAATATTGCCTGATTCATGTCTTGAGGTTGCAAAGGTAGGTTTTGAAATCCATTTGAATGTACTCGATAAAGTAATATTTCCTTCTAATTTGTGTTTTTCATTTTCATTATTTGCGTTAAATAATTTCAATGAAGTTGTGGAATTAACAATCACTTCAGCAGGTGGAGGTAAAACACGAACACGTATCATTTGATTTTCACTTCCAAAGTAGTAACTGTTCGTATAGACCCATGATCTTCCAGATAACTCTTGAGCTTTTTTAGAGTGTGTGAATATCAGCCATTCTCCTTTTCGATTAATGCAAATATTCTCCAAACGACAAGATGTAAATTCTGTTGTTTTCCTAGACAAGTCAATTCTATATTTTGTACATTGATAATCACTTTCAAGAATAGTTGGGACTGTTTGTGGTCCTTCTTCCTTGACAGATGGCACTGATGGTTTTTTCCACGTGACAAATTTGTCAAAAATTAGAGGAACTTTGGGCACCTGATAGTAATCGAATTGTTGAATGTCCAATACATCGCTGCTCAAAGACTCTCTCAGTGTTTCAACTTCCTTTTGTAACGGTTCTATTGTTACATGTTGTGAATGGGCACTTGAAAGCGACCCTTCGGAGGTAGTCATCATGTCATCTTTTCTCTTATTCCAAACAACTTGGGTGATATTAAAGCAAAGTACACACAACAGAATGAAGAAAACACAGAGAAAGGGTCGGAAGCAACGGCTTGCTATTGACACATTATGACTGACGGCACTAGTAGTTGTGAAGAAATGAATGATGGCTTTCACAAAGTTGTTGTGCATTTGTTTTTGATGTAACAAACAAAAGATTTTTAGCCAAATTGAATGCTGATTACAAACCTTCGAGCAAAGAGCAACGCTGCTTGCGCACATCAAGAATTAATTTTCCCATCATGATGTTAGAAGAAATGAACATCTCCAAATAAATGAATCCAAGAGTTTAGAAATTAAAATCGTGAGTCATTTTGTGAGACTCCACTAATACGAGATTAATTTCAAAATTAATATTATGCTTTTTCTGATCCAAACTTTTCAAGAACGAGTACAATACTTTGATGGTAGATCTCCGAAAGCCAAACAACAGAACACCATTACGTTCGGGAAGAAAAGAGACGATTCGTCTTACATTTGGAGCATCTTGTTCTAAAATGCTTGCAATGTGCTGAACAAAGGCAGAAATATATTTCTGAAGGTTTGTGTTTAATTCACTATTTTGAAGATAAATGTAGAATGGTTCTCTAATATCATCATCGTGGTCAGTCTTGTTGGGTCGTTGTGTTAGGTCTTCCTGATTTGTAGACATTTTTTAAAGATCAACTACTCGATTTGACTTTGGTTGAACTCAACCAATCATAGAGCTCACTCATATTCTACAAAAGGTTTCATTGAGGAGCAAGAGAGGTTAGTATAATTTCTTATTAGTTTAGAATTTGCTCATCTGTTCTTCAAACTTTGCAGACTCTTGCTCAAAGAATTTGATGACTTCAGGTATAGTCATCTTTGTGCTTTGATTTTTGGCTCTATCTTGTACCTCAACAACACCCGATTCTAACAAATCCTTTCCAATCACAACGAAATAAGGTACACCAAATCGTGCCATATCAAACATTTTGACAGGTGGTCTTTCCTTTAAACGATCATCAAATAATATTTCTCCCTTAAATGCACTCAGAGAATTCAATTGATGATAAACATCTTCTGATGATTCGATAATCTGTTGACGTTTTGCTTCGACCTCTTCAGGTGAACAATTATTAAGCATGTTTGCAGTTGGAACTATAGGAATGATAGAAGCTCTAAATGGAGCAATAATCATTGGCCAACAAATACCCTTGTCTGTTCGATGAGTTTCAGCTATTGCTTGGAATAATCTAGAAACACCAATGCCATAACATCCCATTTCTGCAAAGTCTCTTTTTCCTTTGTCATTAGCAATATACAGTTTCATAGGTTCACTATACTTTTTTCCCAAGTAAAACACATGGCCTATTTCAATTCCCTTCTTGATGGTCATGTGTGTATTTTTGCATCCTGGAGTATTGCTAATACAAATATCATTGGTCTTGACTTTTCTGAAAATAGATTTTACACCAAGCACTCCTCCATCTTCTACATTCAATTTTGTTAAAATATTTGGATCTACGTATGAATCAACCATTATCAGCAATCGAGAGTTCGATTTTTGTTTGATAGAGTCTTTCACAGTGGCTATTGGTACAATTTCTGCAACATTAATTTCAACATTTTCAACATTCTTAATCATATCTTTAACCTTGATATCATTGGGTTCGTCTCCCTTGCGAGTAACAATTACTACTCTTGTATAACCCGCTCTTGATCCATGTACATGCCTCACTGGTTCAGTGCATGTATAAAAAGCATCCAACTCTGAAGATGGCTCTTCCAACAATCGCATGATCGTATCAAAGTTAGTAGAAAAATTCTTAACTTCTCTTGTATAATTTAAATCAATTGTTGAGAATGCATCTGATGGAGCTCCCACTCCTTTCTCAATATTTGCAGAGTACCTGTTCTCACAGTTACATTTGCAAATAAAATCCTCTCCAACTTCTGAGAGAACTTGAAACTCATGTGATTTATCACCACCAATATTTCCGGTGTCAGCTTCTACCATAGCATAATCCAATCCTAACAAGTCAAATATTTCCTTATATGCTCCTACGACTTCTTCATAGGCCTTGTACGCACTCTCTCTATCGAGGTCAAAGGAATACAAATCTTTCATAAGAAATTCTTTAGCTCTCATTAAACCATATCTTGGTCTCAACTCATCTCTAAATTTCACTCCGATTTGATAAAGTCTTAAAGGTACCTGTTTGTATGAGGTAACAAGAGAGCGAACCACATCTGTAACACATTCTTCATGAGTTGGAGCTAAACAATATTTGTGATCCTTTCTATCAGAGAGTCGAAACAACTCTTTTCCAGAAGTTTGCCATCTTCCAGTTTCTTCCCATAATTCTTGATGAAGCAATGAAGGCATTATGACCTTTTCACAGCCAATCTTTTGAAGTGACTTGTCAATGACAGCAATGAGTCTCTCTAAAACTTTGGTTCCCAAAGGCAAAAACGTATAAACTCCTGATGAAATTTGCTTAATATATCCACCTTCCACTAATGCCTTATGACTTTCAATGGTATCGGAAACATCTTTTTGATATTCTTGTGCCGACTTTCTCATAAAAGGAGTAAACTTGGTAGAGAGCCTATTTACGGGTTTCTTTGTAGGAATAATTTCGTCTCTAACACTTCGGGTCGAACTAAACCAGCGAGCATTGAGACTCTGTTGATGATAATGATTCAAAATAAATGATGTTGAAGAGGATGAAGTCTTCATCAACAACGATTGTTGTTGCATCAGTAACAGCTTGTTGAGAGGCAAGCGATGATGAGAATTTATCATTTTTAAAAAACTTTTTTTTAATTTTTTAGGAAAAAAAATATTTCAAGCAATCAAAGGCGAACTATATTGAATCCGCCTTGTTTCATTTTCTCCTCTTCTGAACATTTATTGTGTTTGATGAAAAATATCGGAACAACAACATAATGAACAACACGAATGGGTTGGAATTATTTATTTCAGGTTCTTGATTTGTTTTATAGTATTTTAAGCTACTTGCCGCTCGAAAATATTGTACATTCATGTGATTTAGTTTGCAAAGGATGGCACCGAACGATTTCGTTCGATGATAACGGAATATCACCATGGCCATCCTTTTACAAATCCTTTTTTGTTTATCTGACTAACATCACGCCTACTTGTAAGGTTTTCCAAAGAGAAGAGTTACTCCGAATTCTTGATGCTAACCAAGATGAAAATTTAGAAATAGATGAAGAGCATATTTTTACCATTCAAGATTTTGAATGTAGAAATAATATGCGAATGCAGTTATTGTCACAAATTAAGAATGCAGTTGCAGCTCCTTTTGATTTGAGATCCAAGCAACAAGCAATGCTGATAGCGTCAAATTATATTTTTTCACTAAGATATTGTAATATTGTGCGGGAGGGTGAACGTTATTATTCTGAGCCAATATGGGCTCACAGCATGACAAACATCCATGTTACAATTCCGCACTTTTTATCTCAAAAAGGCGATACTACCATGGCTAAACGTAGTGCTTTTATGTGGTGTGAAATATCCTGTTTGACTTGGTTTTTAAATACCATTTCTGATATTATCATCGATTCTGTACTGTTGACAAAACGAAAAAACAAAATATGGACTTTAATTCATACGAGAGGGAGAAATACCGAAAAAGTCATTAAGCATCCACAGAAAAAACAAGGAACCAAACAGAGTGTTGATATTCGTACGGAATGGAGCTTTGTAAGCTCACGTGCAAAGACAGTAGAATACTCCAAAGTTGTAAAACCTGCTGAAGACGAGGAGGAGGAGGATGAAGATGAAGAATACATATCTACCGATGTATGGTCAAATATTAAGAAAAAGAAAGCGTTAAACAAACGAAAGCAATATGTAACAACCTATGAAGGGAAACTGAAAGTCTTATGGATACCTGCCAAAAGTTTTCGATCTGAACGTTTTTTAACAGAATTTGACCAACACTCGCTGGAAGAAGCACCAAAAAAACTCACAAAAGAAATGAATGCTCTTGTTGTGGATTGGATAGTTAAATTAGAGAAATTACGTCTTTTGAAAGTTGACTTTATTCTTCATCATGCTATGAGAATTTTATACTTCTTGCATACGGGGCATGTAGAAGGTAAGATCACTGAAGTTGCTTGTCTGCAATTTCAAACCCCAAATCAAGCGGAAAAGCTACTACAAAAACACCAGCTCAAAAATGTTAAAGAGTGGAAGCAATGTATCAAACAACAAGTCACAGGTAGTGAAACTGTGCTCTATTTTGCATATTTATTCTCTCTTGAAGATGCGAAAGCAATTACTCTGTTGAATTTGAGCATTAATGATCAACACGGATACGAACTCAAAAAGTTTCAATTTTAGTGAACAAATCTCACGAAACCAGTTTCACAAGACCTTGCTGAATCAAGTATTCTGCATCACTGAGTTGAATAAATAAGTGAGAACCTTGTACCAGATGATACGTTTTACCACTCTCCAATAAACGACTTCCACAAGTTTGAAGGACCTCCACTTCCACACAATCACCTTTTGGAGGCTGAATAAATTTGAACATGTCAAATCCAATATCTTCGCCATAGCTTTCAACGAGCTTTCTGTATTCTGTTGCAAATCGTTGCTCATTGTCACTCAAGTCTCTCCATTGTTTTGTGTTTTCAATTGATTCATGACGGAGAGTGCTGATGGTTTTCACTCTTTCCAATCTCGTGTGTAAATATGCCAATAAAATTCGTTTAAACCTTTCATAAATTGTAAAAGTAACAGCTGAAGACATTCGAAGCTTCTCCAAATCTTCTTCACTAATTTGGTCGCTTTGTGTATTTTGTGTAACTAAATTTTCGAAAATTTGTTCCGAAAGCGAATTAATTTCTCTAATCACAGATGACACGAGTTCTGTCTGTTTGATGAATGAAACAGAGTCCACAATTGAATTGAAAAATGATCATTATGTATGATTTTTCTTTGCTATGCGTACACTTACATTGAACGCAGGTAACACATTATCTCGTGTTTGATTCAACTCATGCAACAGCTGCAACGACTTTTCCATTTTATTTTGGCGCCTTTATTTAAATCAACACTTCGAACAAAAACAACAAACGGCTTCGTTAAACACTCTGTGGAAGTCAGGGGAAGGACCCACGCCACTTATACATGTGGCTCTTAAACAATAGGTCGGTTGTGTCATGCTTTTGATCAATTGCAATCCAAATGGTCTCAAGTCACACACAACAAGAGAATTTCCTTGGTGTCATGTTTGCATTGTTAACGAGGCGTATACATCCAAGACATGCACTCATTGCGGTCACATTCATCCCATTCGATTTAATTTTATTTTGGCGGGTTTTTTGCCAGTCCCCAATTTTAGAAAATTTCAAACCTTGTTTTTTGGCTTAATCTTCTTGGATTTGAAATACTCGCAAACTTGTTGTGGTACTTCCTTGAGAGTTTCTTTCGCGAGCAAGGTGTAGTTTTGAGAACCAAATTGTCTGAATGGAACAAATTGGACTAAGTGATGTAATAGTTGTGAATAAAATTAGTGTCACAACAAATCGAATTATTTCATACTTACCAATATCTCTGACTGCCACATTGTTGCCACTTTGCAATCTTCTGTTGTCACTATCTAGAGCCTCCATAGACGCAAAATCAGCTGATCCCACTCCAACGATAATGATTGACAGAGGATAACGAGATGCATTAACAATTTCCTTAATGGTTTCAGGCATGTCTGCATAATGTTGCGATCATTAAGAGACCACGAAAAACTTGTCATACTTACCAGTAATTTCACCATCTGTGATAATCAACAAAATGAAGTATTTTTGATTTTGTTGACTTTGTTCCATGGCGCCCTGAGCAGCATAGGCAACTGCTGTTTGAATGGTTGGAGCAAAATTAGTGGGGCCATATAATTCTAGGAATCAAAGAATCAGCAATTTACGATTTCGAATTCATAGTACTTACGAACTGTGTTCAAGGCAAGTCTGTAATCTCTCAAAATTCCATCAACACCTTGAGAGAATGGATTTTCTGGATGTCCATTCAATGCAAAACAGTGACTAACTTGTCCATTTGGAAGCTTGGCACCAAATCCATAAGCTGTAACGTTTGAAGATATGTTTGGTCACTTCAATTTTAACAACTAATTGAGCTTACCTGGGAAAAGTTTGTCTGAATCGTAATTGCTTAAGACATCTCCTACAGATCGAATTGCCATTTCATACTCATTCATTTTTCCAATGTGGTGCAAGGACTTTTGATATTGAATATTTAATATCATCGCTCATATGAAACTTACTGATGGATCTGAAGGATTTCCATTGCTACCTGTAAAATCAATGCTAACAAGAAGAGACACTTCTAAGCCTCCATATAAATAGTCTAAAAAGGAATATTCTTCCTCTTGTAAAGTCATTGTTAACATGCTCACAATAATCTTTCCATTATTTTTTATCTTCTTCTTGTTTTGATCATCCACAATGGTTAAGCTAGATCCATTTTGGCTCATTTGTTTTAATTGTGACAAGCTTGTAGTCACATGACCAATCTTTGAAATTGCATTAATATTAGGCCCTTCTGTACGGAACTCAAACTTACCAAGTCAGGATCACTGTTTTTGTCCCAGTCAAATACTGAAATTTTGATAGGATTATTCTCATCCCCATTACAAAGCTTTTGCATGGTGATTTCAAAATTCTTCCAATTTGGATTTAAATTGTTCATAATAATTTCTGACTTGTAGATATCTACAAATTGATTTCCAGCAGATTTAGAGATGATAAAAAACGGATCACTCTTGGAGAAAAGATCCATCCTTTACAGAACAAGTTAAAAATCAACATTTTTGATGAGTTATTGGGGGAGTCACTTACTTTGCAAGATCTCTTCCAGCGAGACCAATATTTACAATGTAGTCTCTTGCATTTCTTTTCTCTTCACTTCTAATAGTGATTGTACCATGTCCCATCTGCTGTCCATGCTTATCTTTGAGTGGTATCTGAAGGCCTTCAGGTCGACAAACAATATCTGACAACTTGACTTCACACATGCCAAGAAAATCGTCATCAGCCAAAGTGGAACTTTCGTTATCGACATCATACACCAAAAATTTCAATGGTTGAATTTCTTCAAATTTGTATGCTACCATGAATGTCTTGATAAACTTGGGATTGAGATTATTCTTTTGAACTTCAGTCCTTCCCAAATCGCTCCAAAAAACTTCACCTGTTTTTTGCCGTTCTCCAATTTTTGCAGAAACAATTGGATCAGATTTGCTCATGAGATCTTTGTTTTTTAAATTACTACAAGAAATAAATAGTTCAACCATCGTTTGTGGTTGTTGATTCAATATTGGATCCATCATGGTGGTGTGTCGGATCGTGAGCGAGAATGAATTTTTTTAGGGTTGTAAATTTGTGAGATTGCAACGACTTTTTTGTATTTTTATCAAAAAAATGCCCAATCAAACGATTCTCGAGAATGGGATCACCACTGCTGTTTCATCACCATCCATTTCATCATCATCGGCGGGCGGTACAGCAAATAATCATCAAAACAATAGTACGAGCACGACCACATCCGTGAGTACAATAAATAAAGGTACTCAACAGGTCAATAACAATATTAGTATCAATGGAACAAGTGCCCACGGAACGGAAGTAAATGGGCCCAATATGAGTCGGGAGGGAAGCATTTCAATAAGTATCACACCCACGGGTAATACAGGAGCGGTAACAAATGGCACACCAAACAATTTATCATCTCCTAATGTGCATCATGGTGGTTCACTTTCACCACGAGCATCCGAATCATCACTCAACAAACGAGCAAATTCTTTTTCTTCAAACAATGTTGGCAATACTCCGGCTACTCCAGTTCATACTCAATTTGCTTTGAAGCCTGAGGACAACAGTGACGAACCAAAGAAAATAATTAAAAATGCAAAGAAAAAGAAATGGCATGTCAATGCTATGGGAGAGATCATTTATAAGGAACACAATTCGTATAATCTGATGAGACAAATCCAGATGGGTATTAGATCTGCTATTAGTGAAATCACTCCCAAGAAGCAAAAAGACGTTTTGACCTATAAAGACTTTACGAACACAAACAAAATGCCTTTCCCTGAAAAAGGAACAACCAGAACTCCACCGCACGAGTTTCCATACTTTGATTTTTACGATTATGCTCCATTCCCTTTTAGACACTTAAGAGAACGGTTTGGTATCGATGCTTCTGACTTTTTAGTTTGCTTATGTCACGAGCAATCACTTTCTATTCTTGGCACTCCCGGAAAAAGTGGAGCTTTGTTCTTCTTCTCTGCTGACATGCAGTATATGCTAAAGACTGTCACAAAGAAGGAGTCTAAATTCTTGAGAAAAATATTACCTGATTATTATAACCACGTGATGGCTAATCCAAATACTTTGATAACACGTTTCTATGGAATGTACAGTATAAAACCAAAAGGAGGAAAAAACGTAAGATTTGTCATCATGAATAACGTATTTGACACAACAATGTACGTTGCCGAAAGATATGATCTGAAAGGGTCAACAATAGGAAGAGAGGCATCTGAAAAAGAAAGAAAGAGAGAAACACCTGTGTTAAAAGATTTGGACTTTTTGAAACGAGAAAAAAAGCTAGCAATTGGACCTCAAATGAAGAGCGTTTTTCTCCATCAACTAAACCTTGATGCTGAGTGGTTGGAGAAAATGAAAATTATGGACTATAGTTTGCTAGTAGGAGTGCATAAAATAGATCCAGAAACGGAGGCAGATATTCTCAAAGAAGCACAAAATTGTACAATCAAACTTTCGGATTCGGATATTCCTTCGGACATGAATGGATTTACAGCAATTCATGGTCAAAGCTCTATTGGAAGTTCTAGCGCTATTTCGTCCTCCTCGTATTTAGGAGGAGATGCTGGAACTGCATCCTCGTCACTCAATATTTCACATCCCATTGCAGACATTGCCCACCAGCACGAGACATCTGTAAATAGCTCAGAAATTACTATTGAGATAACGCCAGGAGAGGAAAATCAAACTACTCATCCACAACCTGTGAGCCAAACTGTTCAACACACGACACCAAACTCACAGAAAAAGCTTCCATTCGATAATACTTCAAGCCAAGGAAGAAAGAGCGGAGATAGCACAGCTTCATTCTTTGGAAGATTTATGCCAAACACCAATAGAGCGAGCGTGTCTCTTAAAAAGCTGTATCGAGGTCCACGTGCTTCATTATTCCAACAATTTCATGGTGGAACTCTTTCTCTTCCTCTCGAAGATGGAACTAGAGAGATTTATTACTTTGGAATCATCGATCTGCTTCAGAAATGGAACAACAAGAAACAAATTGAGAATATTTTCAAAGGGTTTGTCAGTGATAGAAGTCAAATTTCGGCAGTCTCACCCAAACACTATGCCGCTCGATTTGTCAAGTTTTTGGATGAAGGTTTGATTTAATTCTTAAAAATTGTATTAAAATTACCATATACTAATTTATTTAAAAGGACAGTTCATTATTATTGGTCAAGGAAGTAAATGTGTGGTTGTTTACGTAACAGCGCCCTCAAATCTTCCGTTGTAGAACGAACAGGAATTTCAATAACCCTTTTTGCAGGGTTAATTTGGATTTGTGCATATTTTGAGGGAATGACAGTTAGAGTGACGAGAGCAGCTTTACCGTGAATGAACATGCCACTGAAATAATTTACAAGCATAGTATCTTGTCTCAGTGTTGGTTTCAACAACTTGAAAACAAAGTTGGTACACTCTTCTTGAGAAATATCACTATCACGTTCAACATGGCGCAACATGGAGGAGATACGTTTTTCAATCGTTTGTTCATCGCCAAGAAGAGAGAGAAATTCTTCCAAGGTGAGAATCTTTAACATGTTTGTAATTTCATCAGAAAGCACCATTCGAATACCAGCATTAAAGTAATTATAAAGCGCTTGCAACTGTTCGATATTTGCATGTTGACTATCGAGATTGTCTAGAGAAATATCATTCAAAAAGAGTTGTAAGACATTCCTGTCCAAGTTGAGGGGTCCAAGAATGTATTTGGTTAATATAGAAACTCCAACTAAATAACCAGCAACATAATAAACATTCCTCTTTGACAAGTCATCAACACATGTCGGCAAGATTTGATTAATTTCTCTACAAGCATCTTGAAGAAGCAACAAATTTTCATGAACGTTATTGACTTCACTTGATGGGTCATTAAATATTGGGAAAAAGTGACGATAATCCATTGAAGTTGACAAGCAAAGCAATGACGACGAAGAATGAAGATTCATATAGTTCAGCACACTCCATAATTTTGGTTGATTAGGTAAGTACTCAAATCGAGGTCTATCATTTGGCGAAGCATTCAATACTTTTGTGATAAACAATGATCTATTAGCAGTTGGAATGCATTCTTGACTTCTAATTTGTAAATAATTAATTTCTTTTTGAATGATTTCTAGTTTTGTTTCATTCTTCATTAATTTCTTAATGGTAGGGATTACAAAAATGTTCGAATTTGATTGACTAAAATGGCATAAAGAGAAGTTAGCATTTCTCACAAGTGTCATCATTGGCTTGGAATTGAGAAATTTTCTAAGTGTTTCTTCAACGTCTTTGCACATTCTAAATGTATGTTTGTTTGATAATTTGTGAGTTAAACTGCGAATGAATGTAGAGGCAATGGACATGTATCGAGGAATCAATGAAGTTTGAATCGTAGGATTATCGAGATCGACGGTATTTAGAATTTCAGAATCTTTTAGATCAGAAGATAAATACATTGAATATAAAAAATGTAACAAATCCACACAAAAGCGGTAGAGGGAAGAGCTCACATTCTTGTAGATGTCTAATTGCTCGACAATAATCTGCAAATCTGTCTCTCCTGTTGAAATTATTCTCATGTATTTCTTCTGATCAGGATGATAACATATTAGAAACTTGCAAATCATTACAAGCACTTCAGGAGGCATTGCTACGTTGCTAGCAAGTACTTTCAATGTTATTAAAAAGAGATTCTCATAACAAGTATCGTCTACAAGAGCATAATTGTTTCTAATTATTTCTCCAATCACATTGATTTTCCACAAGCATTCGCGCACGCAGAAAAGTTGATTGTCACTGTTAGAGAGAATAGCACACAATTCATTGCTAAGGTCTTCTATCAGAAAATTTTCTAAATCTTGTTTGTTGTTGAAGTTCATACATATGGAGTACATGATTTCGTCAACATTTGGATAATTAAGAGTGAACATCGATTTACGGAGATGAGAACGAGAGACCATTTCTCCTGAGCGACAGAGTCTGTAACACATTTCACGAGCGAATATAAAGCTCATGGCATTTGATAGCTCAAATAAATTTCCAATGTTTGCAGTTCTGTAATATTCAAAAGCGGCTGCTGTTAAACTGTTGTCAATTGATTCCATTCTAGTTTCCCAATATTGTTTCATGGTTATGAAATTTTGAGTTAAGAATTCAATATTCACATATTCAAAAAGACGAGAAGACAGATGTGATGAGATTTCGTTTGCATTTGAAACTAAATGTTCAAAAACAAGTCTCAAAATCTTGGATCTTATGAGAGCGAGCACAAATGGATCGTAAAAATTGTTGTCGATGGAAACAGACAAATAATCTCCAACGAGATCCAAGTTTTGAGAAAAAGTGGCAGTAAAACGAGGACTTGCAAACCCAAGAGGACATGATAGGAAAAAGGTGCTGCTAAAAGGAAGTGTCTTCCATGAATTTCCGTGAACAAGATACTGTTTAAACTCGTACAAAGAGTTGGATAAAATGGAATCGTACAATGAATGGTGGTTTCCGAGAACTGTGGCAAGATCTGTACAAAAGTTGAGAGCTTCTCGAATCACGTCATTGGGCATGTTTTTTGAAAAGTTGAGTTCTGTCATCTTAATAAATATTGCCTTCAGTGCAGTTGTCTGATAGTAGTCACTCGTTATCTTGGTCAAAAATTGAATAAATTGATTTTTGAATAATGGAGTAAAATTTTTCAGCTCATTGTTTTGTAATATATTAATGTAAATGCCAAGCATAGTATAAACGAGAATTCTAAACTTTTCAAAACCACAAGACTCGAGCTGATAGAGTATACTGTTCGCATGTTGAGGATGGATTAAATAGTCACAAAACTTTTTAGCCCAATGATTGTCTGTAGCGAACATGTGGAATAAATGTTGGACAGTATCCGATATTGAATCAAGTTTTGAGAGAAATTGTAATTGATCTTTTTCTGAAACAGCTGCAAGTATATCATTTTCTGTCAAGCCACAATCAGAGTTGATCTCTTCAACAACACGATAATAGTCTTGGAGTGTGTTTACAGATCGAAGTTGTTCACAAGGAACTATTATATTTTCCATCAATATTTTCTTCAATTCTGTGTGTGAAAGAGCGTACAAATCGCCTCTGTTACTAATCTTTGTTTGCACAAATCCGTGTATCGTATTTGGATTTACATTTGCACAGTGTTTTTGAGCTGTTTCATAAAGAATACATATGGCATACAACACTAGAGATCTTTTTGATGGAACACTACTAAGAGCTTCTAACACTGGATACTTTTCATTCAAATATATTTTTGTTCCAAAAAGTGTTTCATATTTTTGATCTACATAATCCGCATCTAGTAAGTAGTGTAGGTCAATGCCTATGTTATCTCTGTTAAATCGTGGCAATGAAGAAGAAATGACAGAATCAGAGTCATCCGTCATGGCGTCAGTAGAAAGAGTATCGGCTGTTTCGCTGTAACAAAAATCAGCGTCAGAGCCCCTGAAAATAATTCTGTCGTTTAGACCTAAAACGATTGGAAGACGTCTTGTATCCCATCGATCTGGTAGCCTCAATAAAGGCGCAGTCAGGATTCCAATAGCTATATCTTGATAAATTTCCTGAACGAAATTGTAAACTGTGGAATACTGCTCAATTGTTGCATCTCTACAAATGGACAGGTATTTTTTACAAATGTATTCTAGATCTGTCCATATCTCAAAAGTTATACCATCTGTAGAGCAATGTTTAAGAGCTTGTGATATATTTTGGAGGCAAAATGTATACCAATGGTTATTAAATATTGCATCATTAGCTTCACTGAAATCTGTCAACAGCTTTGTGGAAATTTGAAAGAAATCTTTGACAAGGCTAATGCGACTTTTTAAATATTCAGCTCGTTTTGGAGTTTGATAGAAATATTGAGAATAGTATAATACCCGCAAAAATAGAGACCACATTGCTTGAATATTCTTATGAAAGTCGAGATGGTTACACCTATGCAAGCTACTAAATTTATCATATAATAGAGCAGCAGCTTTGAATGATGTTTTCTCAATTAGGAGACTGTAACTAAAATATTTGTTCATGACCTTGTCGAATTGAGAGGTTAGGCTGACAATACTGTCGTTCGATTGCATTAAGTGTTCCAGAGAGATATTGATGAGATTCTTCTCAATCATCATGGTCAAGATGTGTTCACATAACGTAAAGTGCTTGTTTTGTAAAATTTGTAGTTTTGGCCAGCATTTTGCCATTGAGTCGAACAAATACGAAATCTCTTTGGTTATCATGAATGGAACTTCCTCAAATTGTGTCTTTGTATCAAAGTTAATCATTACTCTTTTGATGTTAACTCCATAACTAGCAACTTTTTCACATAGTGATTCCAATATCCTTATTGTTATTTCAGTGACGTTTTTCTCCTTTTTTTTAGAAGGAAGAGCAACCCCAGTAGCTGTGGTAAACTCTAGTATCGTATTTGGAAGAGTTAGAGACAACAAGTGGCTACAATTCTTGTTTGCTAACGCTAATACGTCACAGCATAACCTGATCACAGACGCAACGTAGTATGGAAGGCACGTTGCTAGAGCCAGATTGTAACCAACTGAAATCAAAATCAAGCTTCTCTGAAGTACAGAAAATGAACCATGTTCAGGTTGGTAGAACGTTTGATCAATCTTATTGCAAAGAAGAAGAAAAGGATTTTTGGATTTACCATTTTGATTTTCAGGAAGAACATGACTTCTCAAGGATCGTAAAGTCCATGTGCTTAGAATGGATTTCAGTTTTTTGAGCAATTCCATGTTGTGTGATGGTGGCTCTTGTTGTGGATTTTCCTCTTCTGTGATCAAGTTCTCCAACTCGATACCATACGAGAAGAATGACATTTTGTCTTGTGAAAACAAACCATCCATAGTCTTCATAACGTCCTTAATATTAAAAAAGGGACAAGATGGAGCAGGCCCACAATAATGCTCCTCTGCATGGAAATAGGCAGAAGCATTGATCGAGGCTAACGTCTGTTCGTGTGTACAAAAGACAACGTTTCAATGAACGAGTGATGTTCAAGATGATAATGTTAAAAGATGTTGTTGTTTGAACAACACAACCTCATACACAATACTACTTACATCGGTCTCAATCACACAGGTGATATCTGGAGTTGCCTCTAATGGCAGTTTGTAGCCATCGTGAAGCTGTTGTTGTTGCAAGAGTTGTTGGTTTTCTTTGGTTTCTTTTGGGATTTTTCGGAACATATTAAAAGGATGATGAAGATAGTAGATAGAGAGATATATACTTCTTTCCAAAGGATGAATCTATAGAGATGTGGTGGTGTTGTTGTTGGAGGGTGATGATCGTAAATCTTACAAATCACGGTTTAAAGTGAAGAATATTTTGTGAGTTTTGGAAGGTGCGAATAAAAACGTTCTTTTCGCTCAGCTCAATCGGTTGTTGTTGTTGTTCGTAATTATTAAGAATAATAATATTACTTGCTGTTGTAATAGACAGGAGGCTGAATTTCAAGAATATTCAACAACGTCTAAATCCAAAATTCATCCACATAATAAATACAATCTAAAGAGACTCAATGAGAAAAGAATAGAGCAGGAACACCAGTCCGTGTGCTGCACACGATCAACCAAAATCCTTTGATGATGATGAGAGAGATGTTAGACTTGCTGTTTTCGTCAAAAAATTCAATTTTTTTTGGTTCTGCGCATTTTGTCATCTGTCGTGTTGGAGTTTCCATCAAACAACAATCTTTGAAGAACCACACGGTCAACGAAATCAAAGCAACAATCTGTGCCTCCATCCATGATGACCCTTCTTTTGCAAAATGTAAAAATAACAAGCCACAACGTGTTGATGACGACGACATCAGTCTCGAGTGAGTAAAAACAACCATGGACGCGAACATTTCCAAAAAAAAATGTTGAGCCACAACGCACAAACCTCATCATCAATCTCGCAAGATCGAGAGACTAAAATTGATCATCGTGATGATGAAGAAGATAATGCACCAACTCCATTTATGCTCGGAGATGTTTCAATGAATCGAGTGAGTGATGTTCCAGAAGATGTTTTAATTCTGATATTTTCCTACCTTGATTGGAAGGATATTATTTTGAATATATCATTGGTGAATACTACTTTTTATAATTGTCATAGAAATGATGCAATTTGGAAGAAATTTATTAAATATCCAAATAATATAAACAACGAAAATGATGACAAGTCTTATTTAGAAATTCCATCAATTGCCAAGAGTATTATTAGACGAAGGGTAAAAGAACGCACCGGTTCGACAAGTTTATTGGAAATATTTAAATATGAATATTTAGTTCTCTACAAGGGATGGTATAATTTTAGAGGTTATAGAGCTCTCGATTCTAAGGAAGACTACAGCATTGGATCAAACCCTTTTGAATGCGATTTTATGACAAATTATATTGACACAATCAAGACGCTCGATGAGAAATCTGAAATTGTAAATCCAAACTTTGGTTACAATAATTTCATATTCCAACGATCTACTGTGAATCCTAACAAGTTGCATATGGCGACATGCTCTCATGTTGTAAAATTTTATAATGTTCACTTGAATAGTGAGGCAATATTTGGTGACGATGCAGATGTTGTTTCTAAATTTGAATATGTACACGAATGGAAAGAAACTTACGAACAGAGAGGCCTTCTTTGGTTTATTGAAACACAACACCATCGAATTCCACATCTTGCGCTAACAGGAGGTACATCGGACTCTATATTTTACACGAATTATTATCCTGAGAATAATGCAGAAGATGTCATTAAAAATTCACGATGTATTCCACACAAGCATAGAAATGGTATTTGGAGTGTGAAAATCATCAATGACAAACATTTTGTGACTGCAGGTGCGGATGGAATTGCAAAAATATTTGATGTGAATACTGAATCAGAAGTTCAAAGCATATTATGTGATAAGAATGGAGCTTCAACTCATAGAAGCGCCATCTATGACATTGATTGCAATCCGCATGCAAAATTTGTGGACATTTTCATGACTGCATCTGCTGACAAATATGTGAAAATATTTGATGCTAGATCGTCATCTTTAATTGGTTCAGTTTATACGGATGCATATCTATACGAGATCAACGCCCAATGTTTCGACCCTTCTTCAGGCCAGTACTCTATTTTAACAGGAACAGATCGAGGGTAAGTTTCCTGCTTATATTTAATATTAGGAGTGATTTATTCTCTCGAAAAACTTTAGTTTTGTTCAAATGATTGATTTCAGAAAAGTTTCAACATCATCCCCTGTGACTGAAGGCAAAGCAGATCCATCAGTTATTTACGATATGGATATATTCCGATTGGGAGCCATTCGAGGATTGATGTGGGATGGACAAAAGATTGTTTGTGGTTCCAAGTTGGGAATTGTAATAATGACCACTGATAGTAAGGCACAAGCAATGACTAGTGACGCCTTGTCGCAAGCTCCAAAAATTGACCAATTTATTAGGCCAGAAGTTATGACTGGAAATGATAGCACTCCTTGTCCGTGGAGGGTTGTTAATTTTATGCCCTACAGTGGTATCATGAGTTTAGAGATGGATGATGAAATACTAGCTGGAGTATCCTCGAATGGAGATGTATTAATTGGTCACTGTCCTCAAACACACATTCCTTTTAGCCGTAGAAACAACTTTTCCAACAACAAAAAATCCACTCTTAAAGAATGCCTTGTACAATAAAGCATAACCAAATAAATGAATCAATTATCTCTTATCTACTCGTGACATTTGAATTTGAATCGAAGGACAAACCCAAATTCCACACGAGCATTGACTTCCACTCCATTTGTAAGCTCCAACTCTGTGACCACATTGCGGACAGTCTAATCTTCCTTCGTCTCCTACCATGGATCCCATCCATTCCATCTTGTCACGAGCATATAAAGAAGTGCAAGATTTGGATGATTTAGATATGCCTTTTTTTAAATCTTTTCTTAGTTTTTTGTATTCAAAATCCTTATTACCTCTCTTTTCAGTTGGTTCGTGTTCAATTAAATCTTCCTGTTTGAATAGTGCGTGCCGACAAATTTGACACAAATATTCATAATTAATATCAGCCTTCTTTTCCATTACATAGAATCTTAATTGTTCCACAAAAATAGGAGACAACCAATCATGAATACTCTCCTCCGAATGTTCAGGTTTCAATCTTGAATGGATAAATTCAATGCTTTGATCCACAGTTAGTCTTTTCTCTTCAATTAAATAAACAGCTAATGCAACAACACTTGGGCTCATATTTAGATCATAATCCGAGCGGATTAATATTCCAAATGGTTGTCCTTCCTTCTTGTACTTAAAGGCTTCAACAAAGAATTTCTTACATCCACCAAAGAATTCATCAATGGTATCTTGACTGGTATGCGCAATTAAACACTCGTAGGAAAGAATGGTGTGTTTTACATTGGTATCCTTGGTGTTTGTTGTTGGTAATGATGATGATGATGGTGTGGAATTACGAGAAATGTTTCCATCTTCATGCTGTGAGGCTTTATGAAGCACCAAACTCAAGACATGAGTGATGGAGTGTTTTTTAATTAATTCCCGATAGTCATCAGTAATCTCTTCAAAATGGTTGCACAACAATTGTTGTTTCTCTTCTTTATGATGAGGAACGTCCTCTTGTTGTTGTTTGGCTGAAGGTAAAGCCATAAAAATACTGTTGGTCACTTGTTGAATATGCGGAATGTTGCTGGATGATGTTTCGTTCATTTTTTTTTGAAGGTGAAATTGTAAACTCTCCATTCAATTTCAAATTGAGTTCAATGTAATAATTATTGAAATATTAAAATTCGCTGATTGTAACTATCCACAATGATTAATTCTCCTTCCGTTTCATTGATACACACTCCTGTGTGATAAAAGAATTCATTGTTACTCAACAGTGCAAGTGATTTTCGCAAGGACCCAAACGTTTTGATAAAGTTGCCATTCTTATCCAAAATTTGCATCACACCATTTAAATAATCACAAATAATGACGTTTCCGCTCTTCTTATCAATACAGAGCCCAGTTGGATATTCAAATCTTTGAATATTTTCAGAATCTCCTAAACCTTTTGGTAAACTTTTTGTTACAATCCAATCGTCACCAATCTCACGTATGAAATAAATCATATTGGCACCCATGTCGCTAACTACAAATTCATTATTTTGTCCATCATGTCGCATGTCAATACCACATGGAGCAACAAACTTGACGAATAGTTCTGTTGAAGAATCTAAGGAATTTCTTACACAAGGCATTTGTGATATAACTCTCAATAACACACCGTCCCATGCCCTCAAAACCTTAATTTTTCCATGTCCTGAATCACAGTAATAAATTAAATTTCCATCCTCACTCTCTGAATCGTATTTAATGACAAGAGATTGAGCTCGATCATTACCTTCCTCTTTTAGTTTTCCAGTTTTCCACAAAAAAGGATGTTTTCCTCCTCTCTTGTTATCTTTTCTAGGTTGCAACACAGTTGCTAAATCGTACTTGTACAGACAATAATCACCACAGGTCATGATGATAACCTCAGATCCTTGCTCATCATATTCCACTTCAATGTCCATGTACCATGGTGCTGAGTGTGTGTAAATGGTTTGCTTGTATAATTTTGTTCTCAAATCAAACACTTGTGTTCGTGTATTGTTAGCATCCGAAACCAGCAAGGCCAAACCCGAAAGAAGAAATCACGCGCTTTGATCGATACCATGTTTTCCTCTCGACATCAAACACACAATGAACAAGATCTATTCTTCGGAAATAAAACATTTGCAATCATCTCCTCCTCCAACATTGCACCAACCTTTTTAGCCTGACTGGTTGATGTCGCTCCTGTCTCTTCTGTCATACGTCTTCCAATAATTCTTCTTCCTCCATCGTCTTCCCAATGTAATTCTAACAATGCTCTCTTTGATCCGAATGATCGTCTCATCGTTACCATGAATATAAAAAAATTAATTTTGAATATTCCTGATGAATTGTGGCATTTTGGCATTTTTCAATTTCTGACACCCATGTCCATACCTACACTGTCAAGAGTGAACAAAAAGTTTCATTGCTGTGTCACTAATTTAGATGACATTCAATTTTGGAAGAGAATTCAATTGAAACATTGTCACAAGTATATTATCAAGTCATGCAATCCACACGACAAGAATGCAATGAAAAATTATTATGAACATGAAATTGAGAAGGTGTTAAAAGGTCATAAATTATTAGAGACATCCTTTAAGCAATATGTGATTAACATTTACATTTCTTATTTGGCAGAAATGAGAGAGGGTTTTAAAAGAATTTATCTTTCAATGAGCGAGAAGGAATTTCACAAATTGAAAATTCCTAAAAATGGACAAGTGGGAGAAGATTATTTATTCTTTTTATGGAATCAGAAAAAGCAATGGCCAACGCCATTCTATGTACCTATCAAGATCACACATTTCCCTATGAGTACATACCATCTGTATTTTATAATTATGATCAAGTCAATGTTTCGTTTGAATTTCAAGATCTTTTTTTGCACAATCATAATGTGAAAAGTATTTCATTGGTTAAACTTGTCACTCTCTCTGACACCAAAATTGTTGTGAACATGGTATTTCAACATTTGTGGACTTTAAACCTCACATTGAAAAAGATTTAATTGATCTTGTTGAAACTATTGTAAAATTGCTCATTTTGATGAAGGAGCAATATAATTTATTTGGAAAAGAGAATTTGCACCAATTTAGTACCATGCGTGTCAGGAACACGAGACACTAATGATTGGTCCTTGTAGATGTTCTTCTCAATTTTGTGGCCATTTCCTTATTGGAATATTAGTTCGAAGCAAGATCAGACAATTTAGAAGCAAGCACATGCTGTACGTGTTGATAAAGGAATCTAATCTTCCAATACAGATTTAATCTTATTTTCTGTTTCTTTCACTAGTCCCTTCTTGATATTATTAAGCTCATTGAAAATAAATTGAAAAACTGGATCTCCTAATTTCACAAAGGTATAGTTTTGGGTAAATGAAATAAATTCATCAAGACAATCTCTCTTTGCTGATATCATGGCTTTAAAATATGCGGCAACAACTTCTTTTGTGAAAATGAATTCTTCAGTTCTGGCTCTTCTCATTAAAAGATTTGCATCCACAAAATTTCCAGTCTTCTCATAAATGTTAAACATCAGAACTAAAGTTTCAGAGTTTAGTTTCTCAATATGATAATAAATGGCGTCTACCTTGTCAAAGCGTCCTTTCATCAAGCAATATTTCAACAAGTAATTCTGAATTTCAACAACTTCTGTTACTCCACTCATGTTTACAAGATTGGTAGCCATTTCAAAAATGTCAAAATATTTTACATCAAGCTCTGGCACGCCGAATTTGATTTTGTTCGAGAAAACGTTTAAGTCTTGATCAAAATATTCCAAAAGTAATCTAATAAAGGTTTGGTTCAAGTTTCTGGTTTGTAAAATCTTAGAAAAAAGAAATGGCAATAGGTCATCATAATTCAATATCTTCATAGCCTGTACAATGCTTTTAAAAACCATTGGATGTTCATAAAAGAACAATGAGTCAACCATTTTGGTATCCTCTAAGAGAGTGGCAAGATTTGGCAATAAACTAGTCGGTAATGTTTCCACATCAAGAGAAAAGGCATATGCATACATATTTCTGGAATATTGTGCCCAAACTTCAGGTGCGAACAATTCTTTGCCGAAAGTATCCTTAACAAGATTGAGAAATGGATAAATTAGCTTTGAAGTTCTGTTATGATAGAGATTTGAACAAATACTGCTGTACATTTTCAGGGTTGGAGAGACTTTGCTGTTGTAGAGTCGTTCTAGTACTGGTTTGATATCTTCATACATGGTTTCTTTTTCCATAAATTGAAATATCGTCTCAAATAGGTCTTTCGTAAACAAAGCAGTTGGTCTGTGTGACAGCACGTCTCTGTATATGGATATTCCTAAATTATACAGTTGGGTTCTATTATTTGAGCATATATCATACAATTTCAGAACATAAATCTCATTTTCTGGTCCCTTTAAAGCAGTATGAAGAGCACCTTTGATTTGTTTCAGATTTTTGTATTGATTTTCAATTATTGATACTGCATTTCCTAAAATTGAGAGTTTAAATAGGAATATGTGAGTTTGAGAAATAATTGATTTAGAGTGTTGATCATGCATGTTTTTCAATCGGTTCATAATCTCCTTGCTGACATAAAACGCTTTTCTAATTAATTCAGGAGAAACCGAATTTTGGTTCTTTTCTACTTCTGCTAATGTATTTGCAAAAACATTCATCACAGCACCAGAGTGCTCAGCCAAATCATTGGAATGAATATAATTATTTTGAATATATTCATAATATGTATTGATGTTCAAGGAAGATATATCCACAATATTGCTACCACTAGTTGGAGGTGAGGTCAATTCCGGGTTATAATGTTTCATACTCATGGAAAATGAATGCCCATATTTGAATGGTGTCCCTCGGAATACTCCAAATATTTCATTCATCACGACAGAACCAAAATAGTTAGTACTTCCACATGTTTCCATGTAACCCGATGTTTTATTGGCCACCAGATGTGTTCGTACGAGAGAGCTGAGAACACGGCTCCGAGAAAGCCCGAAAGAGGCTTTTTTCAGCATTTTTTTTGATTCTTTTTTGAATTTTCGTAATTTCTTCAAAAACAATGAATAGCAATAATTCGAAAGGACAAAGAACAAGAGGATATAAAGAACTTGTTAAAAATTAATTTAGAAATGAATGAGTTCATGAATTTGCGAATCGACTCTTATAACAATTGCTTCTTTACAGAGAGGATATCATGAATGGAGACTGTCTTTACACAACCCGTATAACTCATCATAGATACTTTTCGATTCGAACCATTGTTACTACTACCACCACTACTACTGCTGCTACTATTCACTTGAATTTCCTCAATCGCAAAATACTTGGCAAAAGTATTGGACTTTTCTTCAAACATTTTAGAAATACGTCCCATCAATATCTTTACAGGATGAATGGATGGTGTTGTTGTTGAGGTTGTTGCTGAGGTTGTTGCTGAGGTTGTTTGAGATGATGGAAGCATTGAAGTGAGAGAAGAGGATTGATTCATGAATGGTGGTGTTGCTGTTGTTGTTGTTGTTGCGCAAGATGATCTCACCTCCAAAGTACAAACATTTCCAACAGAGAGAAGGACCATTCCATGGCAACTACCACCACCACCACCACTGCTATGAGTATTATTAGGAGTTGTATGGCTCTCTCCACGGATCACACAGGATGTATAATAATTATAGAGTGAGGTTGAAGATGTTTTGAAATCTTTCATGGTCCATGAGAAGGTTAAATGAGGTGTGGAATCAGAAATGGAAATTTGAGGTCGAAGTTGAACCACATTACTACTACTACTATTATTACTATTATTAGGATTTGAATGAGTATTAGGATTCAGAATCGACGTCGAGTTCGAGTTTGGATTGGAATTGAATAACCGAGTCATTGAATAACAATCTTGATCCAAGGTATTCACATGAGGATCATCCTTCACATAAAATCCACATCGTTCTTTCAATTCTTTGGCATCTCTCACCACAAATACTCTTCCAATAATGGTATGAAGAAATATTTCACCTTCTGAATTGGTCATAAAACGTCGTGCTGAATTTTCTTTTGGTAATGAGTCCATTCCGAGAAGACCCAATTCTCCCTTGAGTTGTGGTTGAGTGTGAAGCATTTGTACTTTACACTTTTTGATATTTGGAAATAAAGTACATGTATAAATACTTAAAATTCTACCTTCATGAACATTTGGAGGTTCATTGGGATTGCTGACAATGGAGAATTGAATAAAATCGCCAATCCAAAACATTTGCTCTCTCAACACTTGACCATTCTGTGATTTATGGGTGCGTTTGAATCCTTTGTAGTACTTGTTGCCTTCCTTTTCAGAAATGGGAGAATAGAGAGTATCTTCGAAGGTGGTGGTGGTGGCAGTGGAGGTTGAGGAGGCTACAACACCAGTGGTCGTCGATGAGGATGGAGGATGAGTCGAAGTAGAGGAAGAGCTATCGAAAATGTGATTCGACACGGAATGTATGGGTGTTGATGAATCGAAATCGAAGGATGATAACCCATTCGAACCTGTTGCTAAATGATTGCTTGCAGCAAAATCGAGTGAAGTCATGTGACTGATTGGGAGAAGAATTTGTTTTTTTTTTGTTTTTCGAAATTAAAAATATGAAAAACGGCAACTGTCAGAATGAGCGGGGAAAAACTCATAAAAAAATAATGAGCTCTGATTAAAATTTAAATATTATTAAATTCTTTCATTAGTCAATAGAGAGAAGCTTTTCTCTCTTTCTCTCTGACAATATATCTATTCATTCTTGCCCTTTAGCAGACAGAGAGAAAAAGCGTTCGAAGTCTCTTGAAAAAAAATGTTCAAAAAAACTTGTGTTTCATCTTGCCTTTCGGGTGTTGCTTTGAAGAGTAGTCTCAGCCATCGTCGTTTGGTTTCATCATCATCATCATCAACAGTGAGATCATTCCACCAATCCTACTCATTGAATCAACATAGAGAAAAGTTGAAAGTTGGTTTTATTGGGTTGGGACAAATGGGTGCTAGGTATGTCCATAAAGTAAAATTGAAACAACATGATTTATTGGTACCTTTGAATTTTGTTTGATTATTGTTGATATTTGATGAATATTACATGTTGCCAAATAACCATCCCATGAATTTTTCCATGATATTGATGTTTTGATATTCGAATATTATTTCGAAACTCACTGTTTATTCGCGAATATTTCTTAATTTCATGAACGAACAGAATGGCTCCAAACCTTCTCAAACAAGATGTGAACGCCTTTGACGTTTATGCATATGATGTGATGGATGCCAATGTGGACTTGACATTGAAAAAACAACCAAACATCAAAGCCTGCAAATCTATTGAACAAATCATGCAACAAAACCCTGATTGTGTGATCACTATGCTTCCAACACCAAAGATTGTTACTGAAGTGTACAATGAAGTTGTCTCACTGAAAGAAAAGTATGGTGGTTCCAAAGTCGATCAAAACATCCGAACTGTGTGTATTGATAGCAGTACTGTGGACCCAAAGACTGTTCAAGATATTCAACAGTTGATGGAACAAAAAAAGTTAAATATTAGTATTATGGATGCACCTGTGAGCGGTGGTGTTAATGGTGCTGAGAATGCTACACTTACTTTCATGGTAGGAACTGATAATAAGACTGATTTTGAATTCGCCAAGACATTACTCTCCAAGATGGGTAAATCTATTGTTTTATGTGGCGATAAAGTTGGAATGGGTCAAGTTGCCAAGTTGTGTAATAACTTAGTTTTGGCTATTTCAATGGCTGGAGTGAGTGAAGCTTTAGTATTAGGAACAAAATTGGGAATGGATCCAAAAGTTTTGAGTCAAATCTTTGGAACTTCTACTGCTCAATGTTGGTCTGTCACTTCCTATAATCCTTATCCTGGAGTTATGGAAAATGTTCCAAGCAGCAGAAACTATGAAGGTGGATTTGCTGTCAATTTGATGTTGAAGGATCTTGGATTAGTGAATGGAGCTGCAAAGAACATTGGCTATGATTTGGCCATGGGTCAAATGGTTGAACAATTGTACAAACAAGCTTCAACCAATGGATTAGGTCAAAAAGATTTTGGTGCCATCCTTAAATATTTCAAAGATCAATTAGAGTCCAAGCAAAAGTAAATGAAATCATTCACCTCAGATATATATATATGTGAATCCAAACATCATCAAACATTGATTCTCTCTTTTTGATAAATTTTTTAAATTTTTTTTACACCAAGAAATCAAATCGTCTCTCCCTGAATTTCAAACAACAACACCTCTCCAAACAAATATTTCAAGTAAGCCAGAGACAGGCCATCCTCCTTCTCTCGATGAATCAAGAACCTCTCGAATGCCAATTATGAAAAAACAAGAACCATTGGATCTTCTCAATGATCATCACTCTCGTGAATCATCACACCAACAACACACAAACAATAACAAAAAAATGCTCTCTCAACTCTTCTTCATTCCAACACGTAAGAAGGAAGTTTTGCTGCGTATTACCATTCTCGCAGCCATCTACGTGTTGGCCTTCTGTGTTAGGCTTTTTTCAGTCTTCAGATATGAGAGTGTCATTCACGAATTTGATCCATATTTCAATTTCCGTTCCGCTAAATATTTGGTAGATTACGGATGGTATGATTTCTACAATTGGTTTGATGATTTTTCTTGGTATCCTATTGGACGTGTTGTAGGAGGTACAGTGTATCCAGGAATCCAAATTACAGCAGCTTTCATGTATTGGATTTTGAGAACCATCAACTTTACCGTGGATTTAAGAAATGTCTGTGTTCTCACCTCTCCTTTCTTTGCTTCCAACACTGCCATGATTACATATGCCTTTACAAATGAAATTGCTGGTCCGAGCGCAGCTTTGACATCCTCGATTTTGATTGCCATCGTTCCTGGATATATTTCTCGTTCCGTTGCTGGATCATTTGATAACGAAGGTGTAGCCATTTTCGCTTTGATTTGCACTTTTTATTTGTTTGTTAAGAGTGTAAGAACTGGATCTCTTTTCTGGAGTTCAATTGCTTGCTTGTCCTATTTCTACATGGTCAACGCTTGGGGAGGTTATGTTTTCATCATTAACTTGATTCCAGTCTATGTTTTGGTATTGCTTGTCACTGGTAGATTCTCTCATCGATTGTATGTGGCTTACAGCTCGTTCTATATCCTAGGTACACTCCTGTCCATGCAAGTCAGATTTGTCAATTTCCAAGCTGTTCAAACAAGCGAACATTTAGGTGCAATGGGTGTATTTGCTTTACTTCAACTTGTGAACTTTGTGAATTGGATTAGATCTTTACTTGATGCGAAAATGTTCCAAAGATTGTTTAGATTTGTTGTTTCAACATTTACTTTGACTGCTGTTGTTGCTATTCTAATTGGAAGTGCCACAGGATATATTGCTCCATGGACTGGTAGATTTTATGCCATGTTGGATCCAACCTATGCCAAGAAACATATTCCAATTATTGCTTCTGTATCAGAACACCAACCTACCACTTGGGCAAGCTTCTTCTTTGATTTACACATTTTGGCTCTTTTATTCCCTGTTGGATTATACTTTTGCTTCCGTGACTTGACTGATGCTTCAATCTTTATTATTTTATATGGAATGTTCAGTGTGTATTTTGCTGGTGTTATGGTTCGTTTGATTCTCGTTCTTGCTCCTGCTGCCTGTGTTTTATCTGGAATTGGTATTTCCAAAACTCTCAAAACTTATATCCGTGCTCTTAAAGCCAAACCTTCAAAGACGGAATCAACAAGCTCCACAGATCAAAAGAAGAAACCACAAGCTTCTAGCTCCACTGAAAAGACTCAAAGTCAACTTCCAAGAGAGATTGCTCTTATCATGCTTATTTCAATGTTATTCCTTTTAGTATTCTATGTTGTTCACTGTGTTTGGGTAACTTCAGAGGCCTACTCATCTCCTTCTATTGTGTTGGCTGCTCGTGGTGCTGGAGGAAGAAGAATTATTTTCGATGATTTTAGAGAAGCTTATTACTGGTTGAGCGAAAATACTAAACCAGATGCCAAGGTCATGTCATGGTGGGATTATGGTTATCAATTAACAGCCATGGCAAATAGGACTGTATTAGTTGACAACAATACATGGAACAATACACATATTGCGACAGTTGGTAGGGCAATGGCCTCTAATGAAGCAAAAGCCTACAAGATTATGAGAGCTTTAGATGTTGACTATGTTTTGGTTATTTTCGGAGGAGTAACAGGTTACGCATCAGATGATATTAACAAATTCTTGTGGATGGTCCGTATTGGTGGAAGTGTTTATCCTGAAATTAAGGAAGCAGATTATTTATCACCAAGAGGAGAATACAGAATTGATGCAGGAGGAAGTCAAACAATGCTCAATTCATTAATGTACAAATTGAGCTACTACAAGTTTGGTGAAATGATGACAGAATATCAAAGACCAACTGGATATGATAGAGTACGTGGAGTAGAAATTGGCAACAAGAACTTTGAATTAGAACACTTGGAGGAAGCATTCTCTTCTGAACATTTCATTGTTAGAATTTTCAAGGTCAAGAAGGAAGCCAATAGATCATAAATATTTTAAGTGATGTTTAATGACAGTGTCATATAATATAACTAAATAATTTAAATAGAACTTTGATTTTACAAGATGTCTTGACTAGTCACAATTTTAACATTGCTCTTTCTGAGCTCATCGAGAGCTTTTTCGACAGACTCTGGCGATAATCCTCTACTTGCATCCTCAATCAGATATGTGTCATAACCTAATTGAACGGAATCCAGTGCAGTAAATTTCACACAAACATCCAAAGCAATTCCTCCAATAAATGTTTGGGAAATGTTGTGTTTCTTTAAAATATCGTCAAGAGATGTTTTGTTCTTTCTAGCATTATCGTAAAATCCGCTATAGGAGTCTATTAAAGAATTACAACCCTTGTGTACAATTTCATCACTACTCGTTACAATTAAGTCAGGGTGAAACTCTGCTCCCTTTGTTCCTTGAACACAGTGATCTGGCCACATGGTTTGTGTAATACCGTCATCCAATACTTTTGAAGAAAATACTTCCGCATTATGACTCGAAGCAAAACTGATATGTTTTGGAGGATGAAAATCTTGTGTCAACACAATTAAATCCCATTTTACTTGATCTCTCAACCTATTAAAAACAGGCACCACTTCATCAGCATGTTTTACTGCTAAACTGCCTCCCTCACAAAAATCATTCTGTACATCAACAATAATGAGGGCTCGTTTTATGGAAGCAGACGATTGAGACATTTTTTAATTTCTGGAATTTCTCAAGTCAGCTGAGAAATGACAGATATTAATAGCAGAAGGTTGAACATTGAATACAGAAAGAACTTTGGTTAAGATAAGAACTTGGCTGAATTACTTGTTGAAGTGGATGTTTATTGAGACAGTGACTTCCAACGACATCCGTGTAGACGTTTCGGCCTTGAAACACGGAGCATTGGTGGTGGGAGAGGGTCAAGGTAACAAGTTTATGGATAAATCTTTTGTGGCTTACCCATAGTTGGCTTAATAGTTACGGAACCAACGTTTTGCCAGTTCTTCTTCAACAATGAAACGAAGAAGTTCATTGCAATAGTAACGTTTTGTTGGATTTCATCTTCACTCATCTTGACGTTACCAATAGCAGTAGCCAAGTTAATTTCCTTCTTCAATTGGAACTTGACAGTCTTCTTCAACTCTTCAATCTTGGATGGAATATCGTCGTTTTGACCCAAGACGAGAGGGAACTTTCCAGCCTTGGACAAACCAGGACCCAACAATCTTGGAATTCTCTTGATCAAAGAGTCAGAAGCCAAGAAAGCATCATAGGAATCAGCCAACTTCTTAACAATCTTCTTATTCTTGTTGGTGTTCTTCAAATCATCGACTGTTCTGTATGGAATTCCGAGTTCCTTTGCCTTTTCGCAGTGGTTGTGGTCTCCCAAGATGCAAACCTTCAAATTTTCCTTGACATAGTTTGGCAACTTCAAAGAACCGTTGAAACGCTTGTCCTTGGATGGATCGTAGTTCTTCAATTTGATTTGGAGGTCAACGGTTTGGGTGAACTTTCTTCTGTCCTTCTCACTCAATACCTTGACAACAGATTCCCTAAGCTCGTCACTTGAAAGCTTACTCATGGTGAATGTTCTGTTCGGTCGAAAATAATTTTGAAGTTGAAGTAGAGAACAGCAAAATGAACGACTTACAATTAGTGTATTTTTTTTCAACAATTTTTAAAAAAATGATGGTCAACTCTTTTCTAAAGTTTACAATGCCTGTTAAAACGGCTTGTGGTCGTCTCCAGCCAAAAAATGATTGATCACTCGTAATAGAATAAACGTCAAGAGTATTTATCTGTTTGGTATTTCAGGAAGATAATTTCCAAGACTGTACTTGCTGTTGACGGAGTTCTTTTCAAGATAAACCTTAAAAACGTCTTCATATTGGTTGAAAGGGCAGAGGCAACAATTATCACTTCCTCTTAATGGTTCATCGTCTGCTGAGGCTTTTGACGACTCCTTTCTTAGCCAAAAGGCCCTGTCAAAAGATTTCAATAAAATTTCATCACTCTTACCCTCATCCACGTCGAAATAGCTTGGAAGAGCATCCTTAATTGTATTATAAAACATATCTAACTCTGCGTGTGTCTTAAATGTGACAGATTGTACGTTTTTAAAAAGTGGTTTCAACTTATCAGTCAAATCAATGGTCATGTCACAAACGCCATATTTTTTGAGTCTTTCTATGTAGTTCTTGGCTGCTCCTTTTAATTTACTTTCAAAATCAATTCCAATTTTCTCCAACACAGCTTGGGTGACTAATGAAAACCAAATAAAATCGAATGGTTAAATGATACCAAATGAACAAGTTTTGTACAACTTACAGTGCTGACAATTTGCCTTGCGATTTTCATACATTACAGATCCATTCCATCTACAACATTCTTTTGCAATAACATCTAAACAATGGTGAATGTCAGCTTCCTTAGTAATAATAACAAGATCAAAAGCAAAAACAGCCTTTGATGAAGAGTTCTTTCTAACGATGGCCAATGAATTGTCATTCCATTCGACATACCAATTTCCTACAATAAGTGCCGTATGAAACATTCCAAATTGAGAATCTCCAGTGAAGTTTAAAGTATGTCCAATACGTCTTAGTAATCTCATGTGTGATGATTGATCCAACTCAGTGAGAACAAACTTAATTCTGAGACCAGTTTTGGTACGTTTGTTTGTTGCTCCCATTCCACCAAAACCAATATCTTGATCCATTTCCGTTGCAGGATTAAAGAATTTGTACTTGAAACGATCATGAAGAACACAATTTTGAGCAATTGTTTGAATTTTCTTCGAGTCAACTCCTTCAACTTTTTTCAACTTCTCGATACAGAACGCAACGTATTTCTTCTCTTCATCAGTGAGTTTGTTGTCGGGAAATTTTGGTATGGCACTTCTATGAGAGATAGTTGATCGATGGTACGAAGCAACATCTTCAGTTACGTTTTCTGCTAAATCTCTATTTAATTGATCATCGGTAAAAGTGAGAGTGTCATAATTTCGTGATGTATTATCGTATTCATCAGTGGATGTTGTAATTTCACCATTGTTGGTTCGCGCTCTAGAATGCTCGTTGGATGCTGTTGATTTAAATGTTTCTGTGTTATGACTAGAGAAAACCGATTTACCGTTATTGCTACTTGTGTTTTGAGTTTTTGTTGTGCTTTGTATTGCGGCTTCATCATCTTGGTCATCAGCAAACTTGTTATCTGACAATATGAAGATTCGGAATGTGATGGATCTTGTTGTTATCCACTGAACCAAAGAAACAGAAACATACTTTGATCGCTGACGCTGCTGAACAGTTTGCGAATGAAGGACATTTTTTTATTGTTGGGGTGATGAAAGATGATTTTCTTCCAGATGTTTGCAAATTTCATTTGTTGCTTTTTCAATCTCTTCCAAGGTATATCCATGAAGGAGTTTCTTTCTTTCTCGGCTATTCATTTCTCTTTGAGATAGAGAATGACGGTGTTGAGATAGGAGCTGTTTTACTTGGTTGGCTTTTCTTCTTGTGTAGTCGTCATATGTTTCGTCGGAACTTATTTCTTCATGTTTTGGTAAACATTCCAAACTGTCAACAGACATATTCTTTTAAAATGGCCATGTAAGGAAGATAATTCTGAAAATTGTTTCAACTTACAATTAGGGACTGCCATTCCTCTACAACCCTCGATTTTACCAATGACTTTACTGTGGCCGAAGGAGACAAGGCGTGTTTTGATTTCTTTGGTGTTTCGATCTTATTTGAAATCGTTTCGCTTTTGAGAGGAGAACTATGCACAATTTTGCTTTCCTCATTTAAAGAAACTGAAGAATCAATGGACTTTTCAAGACCTTTACCAAGAGAAGAAATAGGAACAACCTCTTCCAGCTGTTGTTCGCAAATATTGTTAGATTCAATTGTATTCACCTCATTCTGCGTTGGATTACTCTTTATATTCAACATCCTTAGTGATTCGGAAACAGAGTGAGAGGATGTCACACCTTCCGCCACAGGAATCAAAATCTCTTTCATTTTCAAGCTTATTTGGGGAACACAGTACGCTTTGACCAAGTTCTTGTTGTATATCGGAGAAGCGTTCTCTATTATTTGTTTGTTGAACTCGAAAAATTCATTGGCTGTTGAGGAAAATGGATGAGGGACCTTACTTGTGGAGGGACGAATATGTACATCATATGAAGGAGAGGAAGATCTGTCTTTTGAAGAAATAGACTCTCCAACCTTTGAATTTTGAATGATCTGATGAACTGTTTCTGAGGAATTAGGCTTGTTTGACATGGTTCGTTTGGAGGCTTGTTCAGCAATTTTTGATGATTTTACTTCCTTCATCAACAATGAAGCAGGAGATGTGTAGCATACACCCGTGAGGCTTGATATGATTTTTGATCCCTTTTTCTCGAGTTTAGATCGTGATGTTTGGTTCTTTGTGGATGGTTTACGAGCTAAGAGAGGAGATGATGTTGGAGTATCGGTTTGAGGTAAATTCCTTTCCGTCATTAAAATATTTTTTCGGATGATGGAGGCAATCTTAAAGATCAAAGCTGTTCATTGAATGAATACCAGAATACTAATGAGTGATATTTAAGAAGTTTATGGATACTTGCACAACAAGCTGAGGCGCTTTCAGTGTTCTTTGTAAAGGCTTTCTCTCGATGCAACAACTGTAATGACGTCAACAATTCCAAAAGACAGAAAAAAAATGAGCTCCAAAGAAACACTCAAAAACGAATCGTCGGAAGACGATCATCAAATAATCACAAATTCCTCCTCAAATTCAACTCCACCGCCATCAAAGAGTGATCTGAAAATATCAAGTCCTTCATCACCTAATGATGGAGTCAAGGTTGAAAGGGTTTCCGAAGCAAAAAATCAAGGCATGATTGTACCATGTGAATTTGTCGTATATGCTACACTGTTTTTTGGAGATTTCAGTCGAGTTGTTGTCGGTGGAGGAGGAGGACATGGAATTCCAAACAAAATTATGGTAATGAAATTCAATTATGAAGAGAATGGAGATAAGGCACTAACAGTAGAATGTGACCACAGCACTGAAAGTGATGTTGTTTGGAACTTAAAGTACGAGATGGTAAATGATACTCCATTCATTGTATTCACTTCGCTCGATAAATTACAGTTACTGAGATATGATTTTAAAGAAAAGAATTTCACAGTATTGGACTCGAAGCCATTATTTAGCAGCAGTGAAGAGTTAGGAAAGAAGATTTGCGATATCAATTCTAATGGTTTTGTTGTTGCAAATGATGACTATAATTCTCTTCATGTGTTTCATATAGAGAACAACCGATTAGAACCTGTGTATGAAATGAAAAATGTGACTAAAAAGAATATGAGTGATTTAACATTGGCTAATGACTCGAATAATACTCTTGGAATTGTTTCAGAAGACAAAACTATACGAGTTTTTAGAATGAACAAGGAGAAGCAATACGAAGAAGTTTTTTCAAGTTCAATTCCAAATATTACACAGTATCCAAAGCAGGATGTGAAGCATTGCTTGTTTCCCAAGAATTACAGCTCAAGTGAACTACTTTTCTACACATTGCATACATCTAGATCAAGTCCAACTTTTGTGTCGTGTTTTAAGGTGAATGATGGTGCGGTCACACTACATTCAACCAGAGAATTCATGAAAAGACCTGCGACTGCATTTTCAGTACTGATAGGAGACGATGGCAAGGAGTATATTTCATTTGGAGTGGATGGAGGCATCCATTTGTACAAAGAAGGGAAGCATATTGGGAAAAAGCTGAACATTCACAGCGAAGCCATCACCTGCATTGACATTTGCAAAGATCCTTATCAAAAACAAAAGGGCACTGGTCTCAAAAAGAAAAAACAACATGTCCATGTATGCAGCGGGGCTATCGACCGTTCAATTTCTGTGCAACATTTGAACGCCAACAAAAAGATTTCTACTTCCATTTTGACCTACCTTCTCTACGTGTTAGCACTTGTAGTCCTGATTTTGGCCATTCTTTATGTAAAGTTAAAGTAACACCTTTATTTGTGGTTTTACAACAAAGGTTTTTGATACAACACTAATCTTGCAAGCTTCGTTAAATGAATAAATCGCGTTGGAAAAATTTATTGAACAGGAACAGTATTAATTCTGAATAGTTTGATAGCCTTTGCATCAACCCAAGGAACACGTGTACTCATCTTCACATAAATACATCCCCAAATAAACGTGATTATGAACGTATCAATTTTCGAATTTCCTTGGAATGTTCTGATTATGATGGTATGAGGCACTGGCAACAAACCAACAAGGGTTGTGTTTTTGAGATAGACGATCACATCCTCTTCAGTGGCATATTCTTGCGAGCAGATCTTTTCGACGTCTGGAGTAAGAGTGTCAATAAGAGTCGTGATTGTGTAGAGTGGAAGCTTTGGTCTCCATGATTGCACCCATTCGTGAGTTGGTATGAATGGTTGTTCAGCTCCTTGTTTGCCTTCATGTTTCTTCATAATTGCTGCTTTGATTGGTTCTAAATCTGGCTCTTGAGTGAGATCCTTGAATAATTTTCCTCTTCTCAAAATGGAGTAAATGACATGGACATTGCCTTCATATTGATATTGAATAATGTTGTTAAAAACTTCAAGTAAAAGAGAAACGAATTGGTGATTCTTTTCACTCGAGTAAAGGAATCTTGGAGATGCAAATGCCTCAAATAAGTTCAACAATTTGACGCTGGAGAGCATGCTTAATGACTTTGTGTAAGGAGAAATATTTGCAATAATTGTCAGCATGCAATCATACAAACCACGAATGATTCCCTTATCACTGACCATAACCTTATTGAAGAACAAAATGAGTAAATCAGCAAAATTGCCTTCAAAAACAGGTACATCCAAAGGTGTTGAAATTTTGTATGGATGATTGAGAGCAACTCCGAATTCTCTGTTTCCACTTAATAATAAAATTGTAAAAGAAGCCAATTGTACAATTGGAAACTTTGTGACCTGTTTGCAATGAAGTTGAATAATAAAAAGAAGTGGAATAAGTAACTCAGTGATGTTAAGTTCCTTGCATACAAATGTTCTGAAAATAGGAGCTTCTCCAAGGATTAGCCACAAAAGAAGCAAGACTTCCTCATAGAATTCGATCAGTTTTTGTGAGCTAGGTAGATAGGTGTTGTGAGAATCAACAACATTTCTGAGAAGTAATGTCATCTTGCTATATAAGTGAGTCATATCTAATGTGTTTCTAAATTGTTGGAAGAATGTATGATAAACATTAGCATGTCCTTTTGGTTTGTGTTGTAACAACACAGACAAAACATGCAATGATGTTTCAATGTACTGAGTATAGTGGTCAGTGAAAAGTTGGGAAGAATATGGAAGTGAGCCTCTTGGATCATATGCAGTAACAAAATTCAACAGAGAATACACCAAGTTATGAACGTGTGGCATTCTATCAGAGACTGCTAATGATAGGAACTTGTTATCAAATTCACTGCATGTCTCAGCATCACAATATAGAACACTTGAGAAACATGTTAATAAGCATCTTAAAATATCATTTCTGTTTTCCATTTGCTCCCAAGATGCTGAACGAAGGCCTTTAGAAAGAGGAACTCCCATACCAACTTGCCATAAAACATTTTCATCCAAGGAATCTGATTTCAATGAAATGTAGTTATCTTCGTTGAATTGTCCTAAAGGAACTGTGAAATCAGGGAGGAATAAGCATCTCATTAATGTTTGCAACATTACTTCAGCAAGTGAAGTAGTCAAATTCACGTCTGCAATTTTCAAAATTGGCAATGGCTTTTTCTCATCAGGTACAGTTTGTGGTACGGAGGCTGTATTAGTTGACTCCACAGATTGAGCCTGTTCAACTGACTTTTCTTCCACTTTTTCTTCTTCTTGGGTTACTGTTTCTTGTTGAGGAATTGTAGAGGTCGTTGATTGCTCATCAACAGCAGCAGTCGCAGGAGACTCCGATGACACCTCAGTGGAAGCATCCTCATTGGTAGTCTCTGATTGTTCTTCAGTATTCGATTCGACTGTTGAGGAAACAGATGTTTCGGCGACAGCCTTTTCCTCTTCTTTTCCTCCTTTCTTTTTCTTGTTCTTTTTCTTCTTCTTTTTACCTGAACTTGACTCAACAGGTTGTTTTGGTGTTTCTTTAGGTTCCTCAACTTTAGGAGCTTCCTTAACTGGCTCCACTACTGGAGGCTCATCTTCTTTTGTAACAGGCTCAGTGGGAGCATTGGAAATATTATTTTCTAATTTTTCTTCCACCTTTTGTTTGAGTTGATCAATTTCCTGTTTCACTAGTTCAATTTGTTCGGAAGATGTGGATTGTTGTTTTTGGGTATCGATTTTTTGATCCGATGGCGTGGATGGAGCTTGTTGCTCAATCGCTTGTTGGTTGCTGCTAGTTGCACCACCAACAACGGATAGCAAATTCGCTGAGCCTGGCAACACGTTATTGAAGAACAGATCACTCACAAAGCCATCATCATCATGCTCAAAAACAAAAGGCAAAATTCTGGTGAGAAGATGAAGTGAGTTTTTGGCACTAGTGCTTTCAGAGAAGTAGTTTTTGGGTTGAGAAAACAGAAAAAGTTGCTCAATACACTATTATGAATCATCATCAAATTGCAAGTGAGAATAATAAATGTTGAAGACCCGAACATATGATGAGACTATGAGATTCAAATGGATGACAAGCTTACCTTATAAATGATTGTGCCAAGATTTGCTGGTTGTACCTTTCTTAACGAGCGAATATCATCGGGAGAAATCACTGTAAATATATCATCAATGGAAAGAGGCTGAATGAACAACATTTTCCAAAAATTATGATCATTGTGTTTTATATAGTTTTCACCCAACTTGGAGAACATGGTCTTGAATTGAAGTTTGGAATCAGAGGAACCCATTTTCTTGCACTAAAGAGGGAGAGTACAAATAAGAGTAGGAGGCTTTGTTGTTGCGTCTATTATTTTTTTTTCAAAAAGATGTCCTCTCAGTGACACCTCATCACACCACTTTCCAATTCGAAGAAAAAATGACTTCGAAGCCCTTTTCTTTTCGAGCACAGCTTTCTTCACTTTCCGAAAACAATAAAACACAAAACAGCAGCAACACTCTAAATCAATATTTGAACGAGATATTTCATAAAGAGTTTATGGAAAAGATAAAAGAATGGAACAACATTCATGATAAATCGTGTGAACATTTCTCGGAATACATTCAACTGGTTCAATTATTGAATCAACAAACTCCTAATGCAACAGTTGAATTTGATCAACAAGTGACAAATAATAGTTCTTTGATGGATATTTCGTTAACACGGAAATGTAAGCAATTTGAAAAATTACTGAAAATGAATTTAATAATTTAAAAATTTAAATAGTGAAACAAGCTCATGATTGCTTGTTGAATTGTATTCAAGATTGTACGTTATCAAGTTGTTGTTTGTTATGAGATTTTAATGAACTCGTCATTAGTTTTTAAAATAGTTGAAAATTTAAAAGAAATAGTTTCTCGAATGAAATTGAAAATGATAAACTCTAAAGAGCATGATAGTCAAACATTGCTCTCAAAAGGACCCTATCACATGCTCAGCAATGCCATGGATTACATTCGATACGCTGAGGATTATATTTCCATGTTTGAAAATGAATTGGATTTTAAAAGTATTACCTTTCAAAGCATCAATGAGATGGAATCACAATACGTCCTCAATACCTATCTTATTGCTTGGAAAAAACAATCATTTATGGACGAGAAAAAACTACGTTATTTAGAAATGGAACTTGCCATGCATCGCAAAGCTGTTACCAATCTGTAAAAGATTTTTCTTCAAAATATCTAACCCTTTGGTTGTCATTATCAAGTAAGTCTCTGAATATTCTGACGCAAATATCGTTTGAAAATTGAAGGTGTGTTCGCGAATCTTTCTTTTTTTAAAAAAATGAGCACATCCGCAGCAATCTTACCCGTGTCGGAGCAGGATGGATTCGTTGTGGTTGGACAAGATTCATCATCACCAATAAAGAAGAACAATGAAGATTCCATTTCATCAACACCAATCATCACTGATAACACAAATACAACTAATATTGTAAATTCAGATCAATCAAAATTTCAATCATCATCATCCGAAGAGGAGGACACACCTTTACCACCCTCTCCCACAGAACCTCCCTTTATTGATATTATTGTGGACCGAGATAACGTCACTGTTGCAGCCATTGCATTGAGAAACAATATGGATATTGATGAATTTCTTTATGCAAATCCTCATTATTCACTTTTAGATATTATTGACAAAGGAACAAAGGTCAAAATTAAAAATCCGAAACATTTCGAACAAAAACAGAAAAGAGATGCAAGAATGAGAGAAATTTGGAAAAAGCAAGAGGAAGAAGAGCGATTAAAAGAATTAAAAGAACCTGTAAAAAACTCTCCCGAACAATCATCAACAAGTCAAACTTATTCTGAAACCGTCATCAAGCATCATTTAAATCCAAAACATTTGTCACAGTCTGCAATTAACATTGCTGGTGATATGGTGGATTCTGTTGGACATACTGTTGCAGAAGGTATTGGATCAGTAGCAAGTGGTGTCGGAACAGTTACAAAGGCCTCTACAAATATGGTTGGATCAGTTGCTTCCAGTGTTGGAAATACTGCTCTGAATATTGCTGGTGGTGTGGGAAATGTGGCAACCTCAGTCAGCAAAACTGTTGGAAGTACAGCAATGAGCTTGGCAGGTGGTGTTTGGGGTTGGGGATCATCCATGATGGGGTTTACATCAAGATCACGATCTGGTTCCTCCTCAACATCCAATGCTTTGGTCCAAGGTGATGATCTTGTTGTTAATGATGGAACAGTTGGCAACAATCATGAATTATCCACACAAACACGAAAAAGAGCTAATTCAGAGGTTGGAGATTACATTTCTATGATTCCCTTCACTGGTGATATTATTTTCCAAGGACGATTACCCACCCCAACCAACTCCCCAAGTACTTCTCCAAAAGTTGATCCTCACATTCCAACGACTACAACAACACCATCAGAAGAATTTGCTCCACCATTGCAATTACATCATCATGTTTCAAATATTGATTTAAAGATTCAATATAGAACTCCTGAAATTATTGGAGCTACAAAACCAGTCATTTTGAAAGAATCACAACTACGAGAACTTTCTCTTTCTTTACCCGTCAGATTTAGAAACAAAAATTTCCTTTTGCTTTACTCAACACAGGAACACGGAATTAGCTTACAAACCATGTATAGAAAAATTGAACAACGTGAACCAGTCATTCTCGTTGTGCAAACCATGAAAGGAGAAATTTTTGGAGCCTTCCTTACAGAACAAGTGGAAATGACTAAAAAGGAGAGATACTATGGAGATGGACAATCTTTTGTTTTTAAATTTGAAAAACAAACCTCGAATCATTCAAAACCACATTCTCCTCACCCTGAAGATGATGAATATGTTCTAGTTCATAATTCACATCCCAAACACAAAGAACAGCAAACCATATGTGTATATAATTGGACAAGAAAGAATGAATATTTTCAATTGACAAGCGCACGTCAATTTTCAGTGGGTGGTGGAGGTCAAGGATTTGCTCTCACTCTTGATCCAGATCTCAAATATGGATCATCTTATTCGAGTGAGACCTTTGGAAATGATCCTCTTACCAGTCATACAGATTTTGAAATTTTTGCGGTTGAAGTGTTCACTCTCGAATCCCTTTTCTCTTCGACTCCATCAAAAACTAATTCTGCCATCACCTTTAAACTCCAACAGCTGTAACTCATGTAATAAAAATTCGAATCATGCAGCACTCCACCATTCACAAATTCGAATCATATGCAGCAACTATTCTAACACTAGCAAGACTATTATTGAATCGTTTCTCTTGGTCGTTAAGATGGATATCTTGTCCAAGAAATGGAATAAGAGTACGCGAAGTTCCTCTGAATCCTTTGTCTGCAATAATATATTCATCTGGATCCATTACTTCCCAGAAATGATTTTCCTCAAATTCAACTAAATTCAAATCATTATTGGACCCATTATATGACAAGCTGAGAAATAGAATGTGTCCATTTGGTGAAACAGCAATTAAGATGGTGAAAGTATGTAATCTTTTTTCCTGAATATAAACTTTGTTCCTGTCTTTTGTTTGAGGGAGTGAATACTTTTTGTTCTGTTCCGTCCATTACCAGTCACGAACTTCTTAAAAAAATGCACACCGTTGCTCCTTCTGAACTCTCGTGATTGAATTTTGAATTGGTGTTGTAGTTGGGACGATGCAATAGAACGTCAATGAGCATTCAAGAAATCAAATTAGAACATTCTTCAAATTTTCTCTTTTTGCATTCTCTTTCAATAATATTGATGGAGTGTGAATTATGGTTGACATGATCAGAATCTGTCGCTTTTTCCCACAAAAATAAGCACAGTCTTGTGTGGCTCAATAATACGCACACGTTGACCATTTCAAGACAAAAGGGGCAATTTCTTTCAGTGCTGTTTCTAATGGAAGCAGATATCTGTTCCATACGATCTTCAATAGATTCAAATTGATTTAACATTTTTTAAATGTTTTTTTAATTTTCGTCTTCAGCAATTATTGAGCAAAACATGAGTGAAACATCAATTTCCACACCAACACGAGTGAAACATCAAATTCCACACCAACACAAGTGAAACATCAAATTCCAACTTGATAAGTGCTAATTGATTTACTACAATTTTCGTGATTTGCAACGTTTTATTCGTTTTACGCGTTTTTTGAATGTTCATTGACGTTCTATTGGGGGATCGAGAGCGTAGCTACCAGCAACGCAATCAAAGATTCTCCTTCCATATTGGGCCTAATTCCACAACGGACCCAGTGCTGTAAAGCATCGAAATAAGAGGCAACATCAACAATCCTCATTCACAGTTCATCCAACTTCGACTTTTCAAACACCTCAAACTCCATCATCACAGGAATTAAAATTTAATTGCAATGGCTTCCCATCCGATAAATATTCAGAGCTGCTTTTTGGTGATTGTATATTCAATGCAAACTATAAGCCGATTGCAATTAAAACAGGGACCAAATTGAAATCTGTTGAATGCAATCAACTCGGCACAAAAGCAATCGGGATTTGCAATTGCCAATCTACAATGAACCACCTTGATCAAATTATTTCAAAGAAAGATGTTATTTTCCAACAAATTGCTGATGGAGTTCGTCCCGCACCTAAAAGTTTACTTGCGTATCCTTTACTCATGTATGAAATAATTAGCAAGTTAGTGGTTCATTCAAAAGAGTTAACTGAGACCGAATCTGAATTAGTGTCATTATTTCGACAAGCCCAAGAACATTATGATTCAACCTGGAATTTTGAGTCAGTGAATGTTGAGTATGTGATGGAATCACCACAAAAGAAAGTTAAATTAGATCTCAGAACAGAACCTACTTGTAAACCTCGTTTGCCAGAAATGAAAAAACCTTTTGAGGATACATTTTTCATGCAATTTATATTCGACCAATTACGAAATTATAGTAGAGATCCGCGTCATCACCAGTATTCTGATATTGCAAAACGTTTTTGGATTCTTGTTAAATATTATGCAGGAAAGCAATTTTTTGTCAGAATGGCCGGAGCACGAAATCAACATCAACTATGTAATTGGTTCAACCATTTACATTACAATCTCATAATTCCTGAATTAGCTACAGTCAAAAATTGGATTCCAAAAGGTAGTCGTGGTATCATTCCGTATTTCAAAGAAACTCTTGAAGATATTGTTTCAAAATCCTCCTGTAAGAATGCATGTATTTCTGTTGACGGCATGAAGGTTTTGAAACATATTGACACACTAAATTCAGAATTTGTTGGAGTAGTGTTCCCATGTAACTCATTTCAAGATCTATCCAAATTGAAACCTGAATCATTGACAGACGAGATGATATATTTTGTTATTAATGCCATTGATAATTCTTGGAATATGCCTATCGGATGGTTTCCTAAAAACGAGTCAATGAACAGCACACAATTTGTAATAGATCGATTTCAAGAAATATTGAAAATTATTGATAAATCTGTAACTGTTGTTTGTGGTTGTGCTGATGCTGAAATTGATGCTCAGGCTGTTCAACACGCAATTCAAGCTACGCATAAGGATTTTGTGTTTCTCAATGATTATGTTCACAATTTTAAGAATCAAAGAAATGCCCTATTTACCTCTCAAATTACTGAACACAAAATATCAATGCCAACAATAGTCAATTTCATGCAACAATTTCCACACTTGTATGAATTGCTTGATAGAGAGGAAGTAGCTCCTAGTGATATCATGGCGTTACAATATTGTTTAAATTTAACAAGCTCACCGGTCATTGAACAGTTGAAAGCAATCAATACTCCACAATCATTAGCCGCAGCAAATTATTTGACGTTAATTCGAGAATTATATGACTGCATTAATGATAATAAGTGTCAAGTTGAGCAATTACATAACATTAAGCAACGATTTGAGCAGTTAAATCCGTTCCCCTCAAAAACAAAAAATATTTGCATACACACTATCAATGGATTCATCACTTTGATCTCACATTTTCCAAATCTTCGATCAAGCTGTATCACCACAAATTCTAATGAACTATTTTTCTCTATTGTAAGACATAAGTATCCTCGAGCAACAGAAAAACAGTTCTGTCAAATGGGTTTGTTAACATTTTTCATATATTGTATCCTTCATGCCCCTGATGATGTTCCAGGATTTTCTCTTCCTGATATTCCATTAACTGATCATTATAACGGAATGAGTGGAAAAGTGACAAAAATTCCAGATTTTTCGCCATACTGTAGCCCAAACTCTCAACTTAAAGGATTCGAAAAAGAATTAGAAAAAATTAATCAACAAATTGCAAATTATGCCAGAAAATCCACTTTGAGATTAGATACTTGTGCTCCAAAGCGGATCTTTCTTTGTTGCCCTGTACCTAATTGTAAGAAATTGAAGCCTTATCTTGTAAAAGGCTGCTTTAAAAACCATTTGATCAACACAAATATGATCAGAAAGCAGCTGCTGAAGAGGTTAAGAATATGGAATGTCAAGAATTTCTTCGTCAAATGCAAAGAGATGTTGAATTGCGAAAAGTTACAATGTCACATGGTGAAGAAGATCAATACAAAGATTCTCAATCAGAAAATGCTACTACTAATAATTCAATAGAGGAGCTTAAGCATAAGCCTAATGAATTACGGTCCGTATTTAAAGATAAAATTTCGGTGATACATTCTAGACCTCAAGGGATAATATCATCAACACAAAATCTCATGAAAATCGGAAACAAATTATATCATATTGTGTTGATGGATTTGGAGACAACGGGAGTCAATGTCAACACCAATACTATCATTCAAATTGCTTTTCTATCGCTGTCAACACATCAATTACATTCAATGTTTGTCCAACCAGAACCAAATGCAAATTGGCATCAAAAAGCTGCAACAATGCATCAGGACAAACTGGCCATATTAGCCAAAAGTGATTTTCTTCGGAATGTGATTCCTGATGTTGTTAATTATTTGACATACGGAGAAGCAGCCGATGTAATATTCTTAGTTCATTCATGGAGTTTGGATGAGCAATTTTTCACAAAAGCGTTAACAAGTCTCTCTCATCAACCCAAAATTAATTTTCATTATTGTAGGACGATGGAGAAAGTGTTACTCGGAAGGGTGGCCTTGGAGAAACAATATTCGTCTCGGATTAGCAATGATCTTCCGGGAACCCCCGAAAACCAAAAAAAATGCAACAAGAAACATCTCATTCAGAATCACAACCTTCTTCAGCCGTGCCCGAGAATGCCAACGAACACTGTCCAGGAGTTCAGAGCACTTCAGCAGGAAAAACATCGGCTTGTGCTGGATGTCCTAATCAATCCTTATGTTCAAGCGGAGCCATGAAAAACAATATTAATCAAACAGCAATTGAAACAGAGCAGATTAAAGAGGCTATGAAGGCAATCAAGAGAAAGTTTTTAGTGTTATCAGGAAAAGGAGGAGTTGGAAAAAGCACAATATCAAGCCAATTGGCTCTAACGCTTGCTCTTACATCCCAAAATGATCAAGAATCAATTCCGCAAGTTGGTGTTCTTGATGTAGACTTGTGCGGTCCTTCCATTCCGACCATGTTCGGGTTAGAAGGATATCAATTACATCAAAGTAATCTTGGCTGGATTCCAGCATATTATGAAGATAATTTAGCAGTTGTGAGCATTGGATTTATGTTACCTAAAAAAGATGATGCTGTTATTTGGAGAGGACCAAAGAAGAATGGTTTGATTAAACAATTTTTGAGAGATGTTTTTTGGGGTGATTATTTGGATTATTTGATAATTGATACGCCTCCTGGAACAAGTGATGAGCATATTACAATTGTTCAATATTTGAAGAATGTTGACATTGATGGAGCAATTATTGTCACAACACCACAAGATGTGAGCTGTAATGATGTTAGAAGAGAAATCAACTTTTGTAAGAAGGTTAATATACCCATTATTGGTATTATTGAAAACATGAGTGGATTTGTCTGTCCTCATTGTTCAAACAAGACCATGATCTTTAAACCTACCAGTGGAGGAGGAGAGCAATTAGCAAAAGATTACAACATTCCGTTCTTAGGAAGCATTCCTTTGGATCCAGTAGTAATGCAGGCCTGTGAAACAGGAAAAAGTATCGTTCGAGATCATCCTGAATCACCTGCTTCACAAGTCATGAAAGAAATCGTTCAAAAGATTGTGCAGCACAAACAACAGAATTCCCTCCTGAACAATCATTAAAAGTATTTTTAAAGATTGTTACTCGAACTGAAATTTTTTGCAAATAAGCGCCAAAAAAATGCAGAGACCTACTTCGGGAGGCTCGCAGCAACATCAAACAGATCATCATGCTGCTTCGGGATCATCAGAGAACTCTATTACCTACGAAGAGAATATAATCTATGAAAAATTAAAAAATAGTGGAGAATTGGAACGATTAAAGGAATTATTAAAGACTAGATTACATCAAAACGGATGGAATGATATTATTTCTTCCGCTTTCCGAGAAAGCATGGAAGAGCGAGAGCTCGCAGAATTATCAGTACCAAGTATTGTTCACGATTTACTTCCTATTGCTCGATCTAAAATACCCGACAGCGTTAAATACGAAGTTGTCCAACAAATTCAACTTTTTCTTGAAAAAGATCAAGACTACTCTGAATTGTACAGTACACCACCATTACCGACCACTCCCAAAAAGTAGTAATACATGAACTAAAATGTATTTATTGTGAGTTTAACAAGTAGCTTTAAGAATGTCACAGAAGAGTCTAATTTAACGTTTCAAAAGATACAACCTCAATATCATGAAATCCTGCACAGGTTGCCAATCTGGTTAAATAAACCTTTTCTTGATCTTCAACCTCAAACAAAATAAAACTATTTGTGAAATGAATGCTCTCAATGGATTCAGAAAGCGAATATTGTCTAAGCACATAATTTGGCAACAAAAAGACCCAAATAAATTCTTCCTACTTCACAAGAAAATCCTTACAGCTTTCAAGAAACAAAGGATCACAACCGACCACTTTTGGATTGGTCACCACCATGATTTGGAAAAAGTCCGAGTGATGTGTATGTTTCAACAAGAGTGCATAACCATTGCCTCCTCTGTTTGGAATTACTTTTTCAATATACCATTCATTTCCAACGCATTGATGGACGATTGAGGATAAATCCTCAATTCTCGAACTGCAATTCCCATGGTTGATCCAAAATGTGAGTCCATTACTGAGAGTGATCACAGGTGAAACAGAATCACAATCAAGTCTTTCAATGGATGCACCTGTCCACGTATTGGCCCTTAACAAGATTCCACATAATCTCCTCCATACCGTCGATCAGGAATTCCATAGGGTCCTTTATATAACAATTTATCATGGTTCTTGGAAATGGCGAGTGGATAGACACGCTGAGCTTCCTCCGAGAAAAACAAACACTCCACTTGCTCAATTTTCCGTCTTTTTGAGAGTAATTTGCTCAATTCCAAAAGGGTATCCAAACTTTTGATCTTTCCACTTGAAGGATCTATAGTGACCACATAATATTGATGTGCCTTGTCTTGTATCACAATCGAATTAAATCCACATGAAAAGAAGGATTCAATTTGACCATGTTGAAAATCGAGAGGTCTTACTTCATAGCGTTGTGAAGTTGCATTCTGATAACAAATATAAAGCGTATGTGATCGTCCTTTCAAAACAATAAAATCATCTCCAACTTGAAAGTCATCAATATTTTCTTCAATATAATTGTCTTCGATCAGTTCAACAATGTCATGAATAGATTTGTTTTCTAACAATTTTAGAATGATCAAAGTTTGACTTGGAAAATATTCATCTGTGGCTAACATCACAATTGTATCTTTAAATACTCGATAGTTTTGTAAAATGTTATTCTTTGAGATTTGTCCTCTTCCAAGTTTAACAAAGTCAAACGACAATAATGGCAACAAATCATAATGAATTTTTGAAGATTTAAATTTTGGTTGAATTGTTTTATCATTGTACAATTTGACAAGATTGAGATAATTGTTCTTCTTGCCAAAGTACAGGAGACGAGGTATTCGAGGAAGGTTACAATTTTTTTGTGCTTGTTCGGATCAATGTAGGAACCATATTCTTCCAGATAAAAGTGGCTGATTATAAATCAAAATTGCACAATTTTTTAGTTGATTTAAAATTCAAGGAGATGAAACGGTTGCTGTGCGTTTTCCCTCCAAAATTTGATTTGTAAATCACGAATCTATTGTCTAAATAAAAAAAATTAATGCATTTTTCATAATGCCTGTTGAAGCTGGATGGTTTTATGACAATTACTATGAGAAAAAAGCTGTGCCTACCAACAAAGTCTCGGAAGAAAAGGATCATCATGAACAATATCCTTTAATCAATGAAAAAGAGCTGATTGAGCGAGAAGAACGAAGAAGGCGATACACAAAGGGAAAATATGAAATTTTAAAAGCCGACGCAGAGGTAGCTCTGAAACTTCAGGAAGATTTACTCTTTCAATTTTACGAGGAAGACATGAGGATGAATTATATTCAATCTCGAAGAGAAGAAATTAGAGCAAAATTAAAAGAGAAACAAGCTCAAAGAGAACAATTAGAGCGATCATTAACGATTGATATTCCGAATCACGCACAAAGAGAAAAGCTGAACAAACTCAAAGACAGAGAACATTTAACTAAGTCATTGAATGTATTTTCAAATCCAGAGAGCACCGAATTCAATCCTGGAGCCTCAAAACGTAGTACTATGAACCCTAATTATGATGAAGCCTATTACTCGTATATTGAAAATAATAAGGAGCACTTATTAGCTAAACATCTTCATCGAGATAGAGATCGGCAATTTCATGCTTTGCAAAAATCAATTAGAACAACATTAGAAGAAGATATTGGAACTCCTTTCATCAAGAATAAGAAACGACAGGAACAACTTCGTCAAAAAATTCAAGACATGAAGGACAAACAAAAGCATGGCATTATTGCACCTAACCATGAAGTGGAAGAAGCTTTACAATTAATGGATAGATTTGAAGCAGGATATCATTCTGACTAAAAGGAGGAATTTATTTCAAACTTTTTCAATGAAATGATTTGTTAGAAAAGTCGGAAGTAGTATCTCGTTCACCAGATTCCACAAACTCATAAGATTGTAGCAGTTTTTCATCAGATCCAGACTCATCATGTTTGCTTTCCAGAGTTTGAATTGCTTTTTCAATTTCCTTAAACCATTCCATACATTCATCCTTGCTCTCACATATAAAACTTAGTGGAATTCGTTTAGAAAGTGTATTAATGATCAATGTGAATTCTCGTTCTTCTTTTTCGTCATCCTTGCTTGTTTCTGTACTCTCAAAGTTTGCATGAGTCATATCAACCACAGGACTTGAGTCTCGGCCAGGAGAAACAAGAGTTTCCATTTCTTGAGAACCAAGTGCTTCCTCTCCCAACACAACAGAGGCTCCTTTTAAGGGGTAAATGTTGAAACGTGAAACCAATTTTTGAACAAAGTTTGTCTCTTTGATGATGATGATATCACTCATTAAGTAAACCTGTACATATAATTCTGTAAATCTAAGCTCCAACAATTCTTCAAAAGATTTACTCTTCACAGCATCCCAGTTTTGTAAGACTTGACCTCTGATATCAGAAATAGTTCCCTTGTTATACAATCTATTCATGACATCTTTCTTAAAGTTGTTAATTCCCTTATTCTGACCTAAAATAAGTCTTCCTTCTTTTAAGAAAAATCTTCCTGGCTTTAGGAGAGGTTCGTGCATCTTCAACTTTTTTTCAATCTCCAAAAGCTTGTATTTGTTATTAATTCTGTAGAAATATTCATCCTGTTCTTGAAGAATGTGTCTCATTTCTCGTACGAGTAATCGCAGGTTCTTAAAGTCTGAATGAGATTCAGGAGTGTATCTGAGTATCTTTTGTAAATATTTCACATAGCTATAAAGTCTTGTAACAGGAAGCAACAAAAACGAGTCATAGAGATGACCTCCACATATTGGAAGTCTTTTCCTTACTTTGAGATACTTGTCAAAATCATCATTATTTTTTCTGAGCTTATTCAGCACTGCAGCTGCATTTTCATACAATGTTGGATATTTGACATACAATTCTCTGAATTCCTCCAAGTGTGATGAAAATACTTTTGAAATTTCGATGGTGTCCTCATTTTTGATGGTCCTAGATTGAGTGAGTGGAAGCATTTTGCTTTTTAAATCAACAAAAAGTTCTCTTGCATGTCGAATGATTCTAAGGACTATTGGATGCAAAATATATTCCTTCTCATTGGGAGAAATATTGAATTCTGTCCACTTTTCTAGTAATGGAGTATAGAGAACATCATTTAACACATTCAAATGTGTTATGTATTCACTTTCAGAGTTGAGCAGTTGTAGAAGCAATACCTGACGTTTGGGAATATATATTTGATATTGCTCATTGATCTTCTTACTCTCTGGACTATCTTCTTCTCCAAAAGATTCTGTAATGCCTCCACCAAAGAGATAGCTTGATACTTTTACTGATCTTCTTCTATTTCGAGGCTTGATCCTGAGATCCTCTTCAATTCCCAATTTTGAAAGGATGAGAGATGTTGTGTAATAGAATAAATCATTTTCGTTATACTTGAAATATTTCAGCTTTTTCAATTGTCGAATATCATCCGGAATTTCTCGAAGCTCGTTATATGAAACATTGAGATCGGTCAGAGTATTTTTCAATAATGAAATATCATTAGGCAAGAGTAATAATGAGTTATTACTGAAATCTAAGGTAATAATATTTGGCAGCTTTAAAATGGCACTTGGCATGTACTCGAATGCATTATGACTCAAATCTAATTCTCTGAGCTTTTTCATTTCACAAAAATTTTCTGGTAGTTCATACAAATAGTTATTAGGGAGGAATAAATAGGTTAGAGACTTTAACGTTGTTGCAAACCATGTTGGAATTGATGATATATAGTTATTAGAAAGATCCAACAATGATATATTGCTTCCATCAACCAATGATTGAATGGGAACTTGAGTCAGAATTGAATATCTAAAATAGACAGCTTGAGATTTAGCACTAATTTGAGTAGGATTATAATTTTGTCGAAATAAATCGTCCTTATCAATGATGCTATCAAAGATTTGCTTCAAATTTTTGTGAACAGCAATTGGTTGATCCAACGATTGAGATTCAAAGGTGAGTTGTCTGAAATCATATTCTCCTGAACTTTCACGTTTTTTCTTTTCTCCAAGAGACTCTTGTTTGTTCAAAGATTCATCATCAACCACAGTGACGAGTTGTTCATTAATTGTTTCATCTCTCTTGGAAATTAGATCATGCTCTGTCTTGTCTTCATCAGAAGAATAATTAATACTGTCAGTGGTTGTGGTATTATCAAAATCTTCTGCATCTGTTGTTTTCAAGTTTCCATAACTGATTGAAATTCGTTTCCAATTATTCTTCATTAATCTCTCATCTTCTTGTTCGTGATCCTTTTTATCAAAATTGTCACTTTGAGGCTCTTGTGGGGTCTTTTCAGACTCTGGTTTTTCAATTTTTTGATCTTGCATCTTTTCATTGTATAACTTTCTTAGATCCCTACTATCGGCCATTTCATACTTCTTTTTATCTGCATACTTTCGTTGTCTTCTCAATTCTTTTTTTGATTGTTCTTTTGATTTGGCCTTTTCGATGGCACTAGGAGCTGTAGAAGTATGGAGAGAATTGACAAATTCGTAAGCATTAGGAACCCTGTAATGACCGTCATCAGTCTGATTGGTTGAATCGCTTGTGTCAAAATCCTTTCGTATTGAACGATATTTTCTTCCAAAAGGTCCTCCTCTCATTTCTAGCGTCTCCAAATCTCTCTCATCGATCTGAGTGGAAATGTCGAATCGTACGACTTTTTTTTCTGATGGTCGAACTTTTGGAAGTTGATCGGATGGTTCTAATGGCTTTGTCGTCTCAGTTGTTGGCTCGGATTTCATGTTGTTGGACCTAAAAGATGTTTGAGATGATGCTTGTTTAGCCTTTTCTTCGCATTCATGTTGATATGCCTTTTCTAATATATCTTTTAAATTGAATAATGTATCGATACTTGTCCTAAATGTTATCAAAATAGATTGAAAAGCATACTGCAATGGTTTCAACAGAGAAGGAAACAATATCAGCAAGATTGTCATCAATAACAGCAATATCATGACATTGGAAATAATTCTTGCAAAAAACGATAAAATCATGTACAAATAGCTAGCATTATTTACATAAGATGGCATGTGATGGCCTGATGATATATTCTTTTGAATGATTTCTTGAATCACATGATTTGTAATATTGTTTAAAGCATCGGATGATGATGTAGTATTCGTATTTGATGAACTCAACATATTGGTGAGGTTTTTGTTGTTCATAGGAGAGGTATCATTGGTCATGAGTGAGGTTGAACTTGCATCCTCACAAACTCCTTGATTCAGTGGGATGATCGCTTGCATTTTTTGTAATCTGTTCGCGAGATGATCGTCTCACCAAGACTAAGAATAATTTTAAAAAAATTTCTACTTTTCCTCCTTCTCTGTTGAACAATGAGTGCGGCATCATCATCGGCTCGTATTTTGATCAATCAGTTGAAGAAAATGCAAAAAGAACCTGTAGAAGGTTTTACTGTTGAGTTGATAGATGAAAGTGATGTTTATAAATGGAGATATTATATCAAAGGTCCCACCGATACTCCCTATGAAAACGGAATTTATCAAGGAACGATTGATTTCCCAGAAGATTATCCATTCTCACCACCAACGTTAACATTTACTAGCGAATTCTGGCATCCTAATGTTTATACAGGTATGTGTAGAATGATTTTAAATCACTTGATCATCAACATGGATGTCTTTCATCATTTATTTTTTATTATTACCACAGATGGAAAAGTTTGCATCAGGTTTGTATGAAGTTCAAAATGAAAGGCTTATTCCGAATAATTATTTACGAATTATTTGACAAAATATGATCTTGTGCGGATATGATATTCAACAACCATGCATTTAATTGCGTGATAATTATTATCAGTATTTTGCACCCTCCTGGAGAAGATGAAATGAGTGGAGAACGTCCTGAGGGTATGTAATTTAGAATCATGTATTTTCAAGTGTTTACACTTTAAAAGAACGTTGGAATCCAACGCAAACACCAGAAACTATTTTATTAAGCGTCATATCAATGCTTTCTGATCCAAATTTTTCATCTCCTGCTAATGTTGATGCTTCCGTCGAATGGAGAAAGGACAAGAAAAAGTTTTTATCAAGATGTAAAACATTAGCGGAAAAAAGCAAACCAAGAGCTTCCACCTGGTTTTACAATGCCAGAACCTTTTAAATTTAAGCCAGAGCCATCTACTCCTTTGAATGCAGATGATGAGGATTTTGAATTTGAAATTGATGAAGATGACGATATTGATTTGGATGAGGATGTTGGAGATTTAGATGAAGAGGTTATTGCGGAAGACGAGGAATAATTGTGACAATATTGACCTGACAACATGTACTTTACAGCTATTTGTTTAATGAACAACTTTATTTTTTCAAACGTATCTCATATAGATCATGTCTCTTGTTGTGCAGTGATGGAATTTGATTTCTGACTGTTTGAACTTTTGACAAATCAATTTCTGTCACACTGATGCTTTCTTTTTCGTCATGTTGCTGAATTACATCACCTAATGGATCAACAATTAATGAGTTGCCATATGCAACATAACTTGCTGTCTCATCTCTTGCAGGTGAACACTATCAAAGTTGTAAGAAAAAAATGATGATTGTGAACCATTTCACTTACCAAGACTGTAAAGAGCTGATTGTCGACAGCTCTTCCTCTTGCCAACAGGTTCCAATGTAAAGGGCCAGTAGTCATGTTGAAAGCACCTACAAGTTTGTCATACGAATTTGTAATGTGGATATATTGGTGACATCATGAAAATCAGAAACAGAAAAGTTCTCATACCTACCTGGGTATACCAATACATTGCATTGATGTTGACTTTGATAAATAGATGCTAATTCAGGAAATCTAATGTCAAAGCAAATTCCAATTCCTATTGTTGCACCTTTTTCTGGTATGTGAAAGGAGAACAGTTCTGATCCAGGTGATAATATTTCTAATTCCTTGAATTTTATCGTTGGTGTGTCAATCTCAAATAAGTGAATCTTGTCGTAACGTCCTATTCTCTTTCCTTCCCTATCAAATACAAAACAAGAATTAAAGTATTTGTCGGAATTCTTTCCAATTGTTGGAATTGAACCACTCACAAGATACACCTGATTGTCTTTGGCAGCCTGTGCCATTTGATCCAATGTATCTGAGTGATTTGGATCCTCCGCGTATTGTTTAAAGTACTGAGTGCCATAAGGACTGATCGTTGTTATTGACAACAAATCGATTCATCAATTTTTGGAGATCCTGATTGAGTCTTTAGAATCTATTTTTCTATAATTACCTATTAAAACACTCTGGTAAAACAACTAATTCCGCACCCATATCCTTTGCTTGTCTGATCTTTTCAACTGCGTTTTTAATATTTCTCGTCTTATCGGCAGTCACAAAAAGCTGGCAGAGCCCAATTCTGAGTTTGTTGGCCATTTTTTTTTTCGAGTTGGGACTCAACCACCTTTCGATCAACGAGGTCTGGTTACCACTCGTTATTCACCCAAGCCTTAATGTACATTTTTAAAAACATGGAGATGAATGAGAGGGTGCACTGCGGTTCTGAATCCTATCGACACACTTTGAAAGTTGCAATTTGTCTGAACCACAAAAAACCCATCAACTCTAGTCTTGAAATCACGTCAATCAGATCTTGAAACCCTCATGAATCTATTTTTATATCAGAATTTGAATCTTGTGTGCGAAGGATTGCCATGTTAGAGGTGTGCACCAATTTTGAAATTTTTGCAAAAAAACATCATCACCTAACAACAACAACAAGAAGAAGCTGTGCCGGTGTGTATGAGATTGAGCCACTCTTAGTGAAACAACAACATTCAAGACTACCAGTATTCTGAATATTCAGAATAATAATACTCGTAAGAGTTGTTGTTTCATTCTCTGTTTGGCGGCCATTATTATTATTTCGTCCATCATCATTTCCTACTACTAGTCCCCTCTTTCTCCTCCTCCTGTTTACACATCGTGAGGATTCTTTCAATCGCTCTTGGCAAAAGTTTTGCTCTTGTTCTTTTCTCTCGCTCACTTAAGATCTCTCTTGGAATACTTTCATCATCCTCCTTTGATTATTATTATTTCTCTCTTAGAAGAGTTCTTCTTCCTCACTGCTACGAGTCGTGTCCCATACAGCTTGCATTGATTCCATATAACATTCTTCTTCCATTATCATCGCATTATTGATAGAAGGTCTCTCTCCAAACCTCTCACCATCATCATCATTACACTTCTACTTGTTTGTCACATCGCTATTTACATTCCTTTGACCACATTTATCGATTGACTAAATTGAACATTTTGCGACGACAAGCAATAACAACCACACAAATCGTTCGCAAGCAGTGACTACCACTTCCAACAACAACATTAACTTGCATCGAATAACTTTGAATTCATTTCTTTGAAACTCAATTCTCATCACACGACTGCTGATCCTTTATTGATCGATACAGGACTGTTGCATTCATTATTGAATTCAAATTTTGAAATAGTCATAATTTTCATTCATTCATAAGATGGCACTCAATTCCAATCCTGTCTTTGAGACAGTTCCTCCTCCTTTACTTTTGAAATTTACTTTGAATCCATCCAAAAAGGATGAATATTCATTAGAGACGAATAGCACCACCACCACTCATGGTCACCTCTTCCAACAGCACCACCACCATCCCGATCGCAACAACAAGTATCATCATCCTTCCACTACTGGAGTTGTGATGAAAAAACAGACAGCACTACCACTTCCACCTGAACCACCACTTCCACCAACTACTACTACTACCACACGCAATAAGGCCAAGAAGAGAACTCTTGACATGGATGAATCAATGATGGTGAGGAGTGAGATCCATGAGAACATGATTGATGAAATGCATCATCATCATTACAAAAAGAAGATGGATCGAATTGTGAACTTGCTGAGATTGAACAAGGATGAAGAGAATTGCAAATTGCACCACCACGACACACTCAAGAATGATTCTGTTGGATCACCACACTGCAACAGTACTACTACTGCCTTGTCATGTCCATCTTCTAAATCATCACGAATTATAACAACAACTCCACCACTCTCCTCCTCACAACATCATCATCATGCGGAGAATGAAATGTATTCTCCGGTATTGCCATCACCAAATTTACCTTCTTCTTTCGAACATGATTTACCAACCTGTTATTCACCTTCATCCTCTTCCTCACCTTCTTCTACAACAACACCAAATTCTAATTTCTCACTCACTTCTCATACTTCAACCACACCTTATTCAACAACAACAACAACAACCACATGTGGTACCACGCATCATCATCATCCTTCTCAACACTATTCTGAAGATTTCTTAAGTGATACATTCAATAGTTGGATGGATTGTTTTGAAAAGAACAAACAACAATTAGAAAGGCTCAATAAGCTCAATAAATAAAACATTTCGAAACAAATCTTTAAAAAACTGAAATGAATGGAATATTGGGACAGGTGTTGGCAGTCATCAGTCACCAATCTCAACCCCTTGTTGATCCTCATATTAACATGTAACGCTGCACTAGCCACTGTGACTTTCTCTCTCAAATCCATAAAAGTGTTTCTTCCGGAGAGAAGCTTCGGGCATTTTTAAAAAAACCTTTAAAAAAAAAAGCGAAACCTTCATCAACCTCTCACTCTCCTCCTTCTCGTTCCTATTTCTCTCTCTCGAGTGCGGATCAGCCTCTCTCTTGATCATCAATTTTTTAAAGCACACACTATGAAAGGCACAAAGAATGCAACCAAACTGTATCATAAATGCATTTCCTTTCAAAGCAACTACAACTTGAATCATCATTTTGTATCATCCATCGTTTCGAGAGGAATATGTACCAATTATATCAAATACAATAGCATGACCACAGGACATTCAAGTCATCATAACCATACATCATCTCATCACACTTCAAATGATCCAGGAAGAGATGGTGGAGCAACACTACCCGTGGATTTATCGACAGTGTATGACTTTGCACGACAACCTTCTGCATCCATTACCTTAAATGTAAGTAACCATTGGTGGTGTTTATCAAAATGAGTGCACATGTTGATTTGTATGTTTGTTTCCACTCATCCAACCACTTGTAGATGGTCATGAACTTTGGTTTAAAACTTAACAAACAAACACTATTAAATAGCTCTCATTGGTTGAAAGAAGAATTACCAAAACGTCTAGGAAGACAAGTAAGACAATTAGACAATTTACCAAATGGATTAAATTTAATGCCATCTGTAAGATTAGTCAGAGATTGGTATATGACCAGTTTCAATGATATTTATTATGCGAAAAAACCAAAGACAATGGAAGAAGAATTACATTTCACAAAAATTCTTCAAGGAATTTTCACTAGACACCATCCGACAATGATTAGTGTTGCTAAAGGTGTGAATGAGTTAAAAATGAAATTAAGAGAATCAATTTATCAGAATGATGCTAACTTTGATTTGGCAGAATTTTCTGAGCTTCATACTGCATTGGATTCATTTTACATTAATAGAATTGGAATGAGAATGTTAATTGGACAACATTTGGCATTACATGAACAGGTAAGAATCGAGATGTGAATGGATATGATTTTTTGAACACCCATGTTGTTGACAGCTCACTAAACCATTGAATGGATATGCTGGATTAATTTGTATGAATACTAATCCTTTGCTTGTTGCAAAAGATGCCATTGAGGATGCAGCTGATTTATGTAGAATGTCATATGGAGATGCTCCAGAAGTCATGATTATTGGAAGAACTGATTTGGAATTTCCATACATTCCAAGTCATTTGTATTATATTTTCTTTGAGCTGTTGAAAAATTCAATGAGAGCTGTGGTTGAGAATCATCATGGTAAACAACTACCAAAGGTGCAAATCATCATTGCTGATGGAGGAAGTGATAAGGAGAATATTTCAATTAAGATTAGTGATGAAGGAAAGGGCATTCCAAGAAAGGACATGCACAAGATTTGGTCCTATCTGTATACTACTGCAAGTAAGTAATCAAAGTCATGCCCAACATTCAGAATGTTATTCTCAACTTGTTCAGAGGTGAATCAGGACATGTCCAAAATAGAAGAATTCACTGATAGTCATGCACCACTTGCAGGTTTCGGCTATGGATTGCCCCTTAGCAGATTGTATGCCAAGTATTGGGGTGGTGATTTGAGTGTCATGTCCATGGAAGGCTATGGAACCGATTGTTACTTGTATTTGCACTGTCTAGGAGAAAAGGAAGAAGTTATTCACTAAATTCAATTGTTTGAATCATGCAAAGCAAATATCGTTTTCTCAGCTGTTGAATTAAATAAAAGGCGGATAGATTAATGATGAGATGGTTTATTGTTTGGTGTACTGGGAAAAATTCCTCAATTCTTCTTATGCCAGCTCACAACAAATCCCCGATCGTCACCAGCAACAATTTCAGTCATGGCAGGATTAATGTCAATACATCGAATAGGTGCTGTGTAATCGGTAATCTTCAATTTTGAAATCACTCGCAATGAAAGAGCATCTAAAATGGCAATGGTTCCATTGGCCAATCCACACACCAGTACATTTTGATTAATTCCTTCATCCATCCATGTAAATTTCATGCATGTAATTTTAGCTCTAATATTGGAATAGGAAATCAAATCTCCATTCACAGTCCACAAATACAAGTGATTTTGACCATTCACAGAATTTTGACAAAAACTAGCAATATCTCCAGTGGTAGGTGAAACGGCAATGACACTCACTTTACCATCATGTTTGATCGCTTTCACAAATCTGAATCGATTCAAATCCCAAATCATTAGACAACAATCTCTCGATCCGCTCACAATCATTGAAAATTCTGTAGAAATACAAACACATAGAACTGAATCAGAATGTCCACTCAATGTGGCAGCATGATCTAAAAACTTGTTATCCTTATCTGTGTTCACATTGGTTGTATCTGGTGTATTCTTATTGTTATGAATCTTGACACGAGTATTCACACGAAAGACATGCAATGCTCCAATACTTGTTCCAACCACTAAAACATCACCACTGTTTGAGAAACGAGCACATTTGTAAATTTCAGGTTGATTCATAAAATGATAGACATGAAGTGGTTTTCCAGTATCCCATTTACAAATTCGAAGTGTCTTATCCCAATGAAGGAATGAGAGATAGACTGGAGAGTTCTTACTTCTTTGCATATTCACTTGTCCACTGGGTGGAATGAAAATTTGATGTTTTCCAACTGCAATGACACTTCCACTATATGTCGTTTGATCATTTCGAATGTACAAATCTTGAACAGCTTCTTTAAATATTCTAATATTTCCTGGACATAATTCATTGGCCACTTTAAAAATATAATTTGTCACTGGAATGACATTAATTGTATCTTGTTCTCCACCCATCAGATTAGTGGTAGCATATCGTTCAGGATGAGGTTTTTTAAACAATTGTTTTGGTGTTTGTCCATAGGTACATATTTGTGTCCATCGAGCTTCACGTGTGATGGGATCATCAATTAAATCGACTTCATCTGCCAATGATCCTTCATAGGTCATGTAGTGAAAGACATTGTATGCATTGACAGCTGCTTCACCACGTTGTTTATATCCAAAGATTAAATCAATCCAATGATGTAAATTACGAGAGACATAATCAGATTCGAGAGCTTGTCGATGTTTTCTAATAAAAAGTACTGGATCTCCTTTTGCCCATTTTGGTAATTCAACATCATCAAATCTCATATCATTCTGTAACACTCCAAAATCAATTCGATTTCTATTTTGTAAAAATTCAGGTAAATAAAAGAATTCTGGAATGAGTTCTTTAAAATCAGATTTGGATTGTGTTTCACCACTCGATAACTCCCATGACTTTTTAATGGAATGGAAGGTACGATCTGCTAAATCTAATTTACCATCATTAAATTCAAAGAATACTCTTGTGAATGGTTCCATTCTCACTAAATAATAAGAAACTGCAATGGGTGTTGAATAATGTGAACCATAATGATAGGGTTGATCTTCAATTTCTTTGGTCGCTTCATATTGCTCAATAATTTTTTCAAGACGTTTCTCATTGAGAGCACCCATGGGTTTACGTAAATCACGGAATGTGTTTGGATCGGATAAATCCAATTCATCACTATCGTAATCTCTTAATATAAATGGAAATACAGGATATTGAGTGAGATCGTTAAAGGATCTTCCTGCTAGAATGTTCAAATGCATTAAATATTCAAAATTACTAATCGTTCCTTCCACCCATTTTTGTGTAATGGATTTTTTAAATATTAATTTACCATTCACTTCTTCTTCATAATTGACTAAATTTGGCAAGTTCAAATTGGGTGTCAAGTTAATGTAACTGAATCGAGAGGATGGTGAGGTGAGTAATGAAAGTATCTTATCACGTGATTCTCCATCTTCAAATGCAAAGAAGAATGATTTACCATTCACTAAAAAGAATTCCACTGCATTATTTTTCAATAAATATCTTCGATTGTGAATTTCTCGAATGGTTTCATAGGAAAAGTTATAAGTCTTTCTCATTTCATGATGAGATTTATGAGAAGCACTTGTAGAATTGGTTCTAATGGTGAGTGGATAGGAACATGTTGCAATAAAATAGACTCCATCTTCACCCAATACTAATTCACCTTCTGTAATACGAAGAGGAGTAATACGTTTACATTTCTTTGGTTCAGAAATGATATTTGAAATTGTTAAATAAGAGTAATTATTGGTCGTTGTAGTGGTACTGTTCACTTCAGAGGAGCAAGTCATTTCATCATCATTGTCATCGACATTGCTATTATTAGCATTGTTCAATGTCATGTTGGGAGAAGTGTTAAGAGTGTTGTTGTTGTTATTGTTGTTGTTGTGGCTGGTCGACGAGTAGTGGAGAGTAGCAGTAGTAGTGGTATTCGTATTCGAAGAAGAACAAGGCATCGTAGCAATAGTGTTGTTGTTGTTAGGAATAATAGTAGTAATATTGGAGGCACCATGGAGAGGATTCGATTCAAAGACAGATTCTAAGGTTTCCGAAATATTCTCCATCGAGTCATTATTGGGAATGGTCATTGATTCATCTTGCATTTCAAAGGTGACAGATCTCTTTTGAATGTAACTGGAATGATTGTTGTCATCCTTTTCTTCTTTCAAAGAAGTGTTGTCACTATCATGATGACCATGAACAACAACAACAACACCACTTTGACCACCATGACCACCTCGACTCTGATAAACTGGACCACCTTGACCACTTTGACCACCACCTTCGATTTGAAGTCTCTAATAAAATCACACCATCATCGATATGGAAAGGTCTCTTCTTCAATTGTCTCTTCATTCTCATCCTCACTCGATTTGGTCCAGAAATGGAATCTAATTTATAATCGACATTTTCATAAGTCTCTGCATCATAGGGTATAAATGGTAGTCGATGATAATCATTCTCTTTAGTAACATGAGAACGTGTGGTAGTAATAGTAGAACGAGTCTTAATGGTTCGATCACAATAAGCATTCATGGTATGAATATAGACATTGAATGCACTCACATCTTCATAGATACATTTGATGAGCATTTTCCATTGTTTTCTAGCCTGTAAATCTGTATCCATAATACTCTTCAATTTCAAAATATGAGGTTTCAAAAATTTGACCTTATTCAATTCCAATTGGACTTGTTCATTTTTAAGTTGTTTCTTGAAATTGAAATCCTTCTTCTTTTCAGAGTCTTCATATTTCAATATAGTCTCTGTAACGGAAGTGAGTTTAGAATTAAATACTGAGAATTCTGTACTCTCCCATTCTCTCACTTGATCAATCACATTAGGTTCAAAGATTAATGAAGTAATATTTTCCGATACGGTTGAGGCTTCTTCAACCATGCTAATAAATTCGGGATCGTTGGGATCAAAATTTTTGAAAAAGACATTTTTTTTAAGAAAATCTTTTCCACTCGTCGTATTGATCATGGCTTTCCATACTTTTCGATTCAATTGTGGTAGAATGGTATCTGTCTTTTCAAATAAATGTGCAGTTCGATAGAGTAGTCGAGTAATATATTTGGTATCTGAATAGAAACATTTCAATAACTTTCCACAATTTGTCATTTCTTGATGTCCACTTGGTTCTTGAAGTAAATCATGAATAATCAATTCAGAATGGAATGGGAAAAAGTATAATAATTGTAAGAGTGTGAATATATGATCAGATTTGGATCTTTTAGAATCTAATAAAAACATGAATATTCTCTTCAATTGTTCAACGAGTACAATTTCTGAAGTTGAAATTGGATTAAAATCTTGATGATCTTGATCACTACTATTCACACCACC